TTGTCACCATCTCCGTCCATTGTATTCTTTCCATATGCATCCAGCACCACATTTCTAATGCCTCCAAATGATAATTTCATAGTTAAGTATTTCATAATATAAGCCCATTAAAGCCCATTTAGTAATATTACAATTAGTGTAGCTAGTATATAAAAATAAGTACAAGTCTTACCTGTATATATATATATTTATATATATATACAGCGTGTCGTTACCATTGCGACAATAAATGAACACACGCCTAACGCTACTTGCCAATAATCATAAAAAAATATTAACATTAAAAAAATCCATAATTAAACAAAATATTTTTCAAACAAACTAATTAAGTAAAAAAGAAACAAAATTTGTAACATCCTATACAACTACAACTGACTGATTCATACATTCAGAGACTTTTTCATTCGTTGCCACGACGTCGCATCACAAGCCTCTCCTTCTAACAGTATGTTTTATCTCTTTTAAATTCATTTAACCCATTCATATGCTTTGTGACTTTTACAAATGAACTTTACGTTACAGTTTTATACGTAAGGGTGTTCTAAAATTCTTTGTTTTGGAAAATTTTATAACTGTAAATATTGATGTTTAAAGAATGTAAATGTATAATACAATTTTAAAAAGTTATCCTCTATAATTATGTGTGTTCATGTATTGTCGCGTTGGTAACGACCCGCTGTATATATATATATATATACATTTATTTATTGGCTAGATGATTGTCAAATCTGAGTTTTGCAAAATGTCATGTCCGCGATTTGGTGTGCCCACAGGCAAAGACACTACCAAATTCGCATGTTATGGTTGAGTTACCTAATTTCATGGGACCTATGTCTTAACAGTTTCTTGTATTTACGTGATTAAAAAATTACAGTTGTTAAATTATTAATTTTGTTTTGACATTCGTAGAAAATGTTCTGGGTAGATTCACACAAAAGTAATAATTTAAAAACTGCAGTAGTTGGACTAACAATGACTTTCAGATGTCCAATGCCTCAGTTTCTCGCACAACCATGAACTCTGAAAAGGTTTCGAAACTTTGGGAAATAAAATTAAAAATAAAGGCGATAAATTAAAAATAAACTTCATATCCTAGAATATTTTCTAGACATTTTTTAATTTACAGTTTATTAGTTTAAACGCAAGCTTAGCGGTTATAAATGATCCTATACAGCAAATCCATGAAAAATAAAAAACTCATTTATTCTGTCATAACTTCAAGACGTAAGAGTTAAGTACATATATAGTATCATACCGTAAAACCGGGGACTCTATTACTAAGACTCCGCTATCTGTCCGTCTGTCTATCCGTCTGTCACCAGGCTGTATCTCATGAACTGTGATAGTTAGACAGTTGAAAATTTCACAGACGATGTATTTTTCTCTAATGCTAGTGTAGTAATACTAAACAACAGAATAAAAAATATTTAAGGGGGCTCCCATAAACAGACATGGCTTTTTTGCCGCTTTTATAGATAATAATACGGAACCCTTCGTGCGCGAGTCCGATCCTCACTTGCTTGCCTGGTTTTATAATCAAATCATGAATTCATTGAAGTAAGAAATGTACATTTCATCTATCGATATCTATTTTAAATCTACCACCGTTTAGTAATAAGGTTTCTCTAACGGAGAAGAAATAAGCGAAAGAACCTCCGTAAGTATCCTCTTTTATGTATTTTTTTTCTCAGACTATTATGTTATACAGTAAATATACATATATCTCGTCAACTGTTACAATATATCGCTTGATTTAAAAAAAATAATAAAGTATCATCGGCAAACAGCTCTATGTCATGTTTATTCTCTATTAAGTAGGGTAAGCCAATGATATAAACGAAAAAAGAAATGGGCCGAGAATCGAGCCCTGCGAAACGCCTATTGACATCATCGACCCAGAAGATCTAGCGCCATTAATTACAACTTACTGAATTCTATTACATAACTATGACAATCAGGTCAAGCGCGCAACTTCTAACGCCGTAATGGTGTAATTTCCTGATAAGTGTTCAATTATTGACGCAATCAAAAGCCTTGGTAAGATCACAAAAGACACCCAGAGCATCCTTTGAAGTCTCCCAAGCCTAAAATATATATTTGATCAGCTCTACACCAGCATTGGTTGTAGAAAGACCCCTTTTAAAACCGAACTGATTGCGGTGTAATAATTTGTTTAAAATCAAAATGTATTAACAGCTGATGGACAATAAATTTTTCGAAAATTTTAAATATCTCTAAAGTAACGGTTTCAACCGTGGTAGGGCCACGCAGCAGCTTCGGCTGTTGCACGAATGGACAGACCCGTCCGGGTTAGTACCACGACCTCACAGAAGACCAGCGTAAAGTGGAAGTATGATAAATACTTTCGCGTTTCGTCTGGTGAGTGAGGTAGCCGGAGCCCAATTTAGAAAAAAGGTTGTCAACGCATCTGTAACCCTCGGGTGTAGCAGATGTCCATGGGCGGCGGTATTCACTTAACATCGGGTAAACCGTCTGCTCGTTTGACAACTTTTCACATAAAATAAAAAATAAATAGTAAGTGGGATCAGAAGAACTACCGGATTTAAAGAAAGTTATGACTTTACTGTGTTTCATCAAATCAGGAAATACATCAGCTTCTAATGGCGTTAAATATTATAGTCAAATGAGGTATAATTACATCTATTATTGAAGCAGTCACTTCAACAGACGTCTCTCATAGGTCTGCCGTTTTTTTAAATGCAATGATGTTAAAAATTTTACATATCTTTTGAATTGACACAGTCTCAAATATAAAGATTGTGGTGGAAGCACTTACATTTTCATTAAATAATGTCTTAGCAACAGTAGGTAGAAGAATTCAGCGACAATGTAGTTAAAATAGATTTAATTTTTATTATTTAAAACTAAATTATAAATTATAATTTATAAAAACGTATCGCAGGGATATAACATAAATATGTATGTAAACATGTGATGGAATTTTGTATAATGATAAAAACATACGACATTTAACATAAATGTCGTATGTTTTTATCATTATTCACATAATTATTATTTATTTTCTCTTAGTTGATGCCACTTGCCCTAAATTGAAATTACTTATATAAAAAGTTTATGCATAAATGCTTGGCGATAGGAACTTGTGAATCCGTATGACTGCATCTACGTAATTCTTGTTCCACGTTATTAGTAAATTATGTTATCGAATCCTATACCCTAGTCACTTTTGTTTCGTAGTAGAAGAAAAACGTTCACTTCGTTGAAGCTTCCGTGGACTGTATGTGTATAATTGTTAGTGATATGAACTAAGGGTATGAAAGGAATTGAAAGAAATCCTTTTAACTTTACGCCAAACATGAGACAAAACTTGGTCATTCAAAATTTAAATCGCGATGTTAATCTAATACCAAAAAGATATGAAGAAGGAATACGACATTGTTATGCCTTGACGTACGCTACATTTCCATCCCCAACATTTTAGTAAGTAAACTATAAATATCCACAATACTACATCATATTTAACGCTTCACAGGAAGGTAGCGTAGTCTTAAAAATTATTTATCAAATAACGCATGTTATTGAAATATGGAGCTATATGATATACAGTTCAATATATTAAGAAATTATTAGTTCTGCATTTGCAAGGGTTTAGGTTATTGTTAATTTTATTAACTTAAGCGTATAACTTCTTTGATAATATTATGTGTTTGCCGTCGTAACATATTTTATAGGATCTATACTAAACTAGTTATGAAAAATGATTTTTGAGCTTATACAAAACTGCATACTGTACCTACACAAACTTTAATGATTAAAATATATGGAAGGGTAACGGGTTTTACAAATCTTTCGAAACAACTCATAGATCCATCAAAATTATTCAAGAAAATACGGTTGTTAGTTAATTGACGTTATAATCTAATCGAAATATCTTCAAAATGTAAGCATTAACACTGTATAATGACATTAACTATGTTAATTCCTAAATTATGATTTCTCTTTCTTTACACAATCGAACCATTGAGATACATAATGATTTTATTTTACACTGTATAAACTGGCAGATTCAACGGATGCCACAGTTTTTCCACTTACCGTATCCAGGATAATTTTCATAATTTACGTGTAATCAAAAAAATCGAGAAAATATAATATGATACGCACTCATGTTCTGTAACAGTAACGGGGTTGACAGTTATAGCTGAACTATCGCCACGTTTCACCAAGCTTACTTAGTCCCAAATGCGTGTAAGCCGTGTTTTGGGTAACTTGGCCCACAAGTTACCCAAAACACGGCTTAAAAACGTTAGGGATTGTTTATAGCAGTGATTCTCAACCACTGTGCCGCGGCACTTTTGAGTGCCGCCAAATTTCAAAAGTGTGTCGCCAAATTTTGCAAATATGTAATAATGTTAATATTATTAAATTATATCATTTAAAAAGAAAAATATTTTTTGGCACTAGCCAACATTAAAACTAAAAAAAAGATCACGATTGGTAAATGTAGAAGACGATATGAGAGTAGCATTGTCATTTTTACGACCAAATATAAATTAAATTATCAAAAAACATCAAGCTCAAATTTCGCATTAAAATATTTTTATTATTAATTTTGTAATTAATCCCTTAATAAACGTTTAGTTATTATTGTAGTATATATTAGTTTATTTCGTATATTTAAAATGTTTGTCATAAACTATTTATGCAGTGTGTTGTAGTAAGTAAATAATTTTTATCTTATTTTTTTGTGTGCCGCCAAATTTTGAAATCGTTAAATATGTGCCGCGACAAAAAAAAGGTTGAGAATCACTGGTTTATAGCATGTGATATACCCAAATAGGGGAAACTTTATTTGTGTAGTAGTATTTGAACCCGAGACATGAAGATTTCAAGACTGACTTCTCAGCCACCAGGATATCATTGCCGCTTAACGTTTTATAACAAGAATTAGTCTTAGAATTAGAATTAGAAGACAAATAACTGACCTAATCAATATTTTTTTAAGTCTCACCTGCATAATGGCTGACAAAGACCAAGTGATTCAAGCACTCAGAGCCACACTTATATCAGTGAAAGGAGCACTTACTATAAAACAGTGTAATCGTAAGTCACATAGCATTTATTCCTTGCGTAATGTATTGACATGAATTTATTGTTATATCCATAATAAAATAAATCCTAGGTGACTACAGAGAATTGCAAGGTGAATGGATTCCTTTCAAGAAACTTGGTTATCCAACGCTAGAAAAACTTTTCCAAGATGTTCCTGGCTTTAAAATAACCCAAATTAATGGCGAATGGTATGTCGACGCCATAGCGAGTCAAGAAACACAACATATTGCCTCAATGGTTGCCCGTCAGAAGCCAAGTAAAAAAACTAATCTTAAATTAAATCATCCGGTAAGTATTATATAAAACTATAATAAATAATCATTCATTTGTATCGAAGTGAGAAAAAGATATTATTTTTTTTATGTGAAAAGTTGCCAAGGGAGCAGACGGTTCACCTGATGTTAAGTGAATACCGCCGCCTATGAACATCTGCTATACCCGAGGGTTCCAGATGCGTTGACAACCTTTTGAAAATTGGGCTCCGCCCATCTCACTCACCAGACGAAACGCGAAAGTATTATACTTCCACTTTACGCCGGTCTTCTGTGAGGTCGCGGTACTTACCCGGACGAGCCTGCCCATTTGTGCAATAGCCGAGGCTGCTGCGTGGCCCTACCACCGTTATATTAATCATCTTATTACTTAATCATTATGAATAATGAAGGATAAACATTATTTGATGACACTATCGCATTTAATCATCAAGTACCGGACAGAGTTTACTTGTGTTTTTTTTTGTAAAATTGCGTTTTTTTTTAGTGGTAGATAAGGCAATATTGTTAAACATAAAAATCAAAATTTGATTTAAATACAACGTTTAATCCAAATATTTTTAGAACCGTTTCCGTAATAAGGAACATACATGAATTATTCGTTTAAAATTATAATATGATAATAACTCCGTTCAAATATTTTTGCAATTATAGAATCGATTTCCGAAGAAACAAGGGTCGTGGAGAAAACCCGCGCCGTCGTCGAGTTACACATCAAATTACGACAATCAATATTCAAAACAGTACTACAGAGCTAAATCGAACACTCCGTTCAACAATAATACCTATAATAAAGTAAGTAATAGTTAATAACATCCTTTTTTTAACAAATTAACTGTCTTGAACTATGTGATTCTGATTATAAGAAAGTACATCTTATTGAATATGATTGGCTGAATTAAAAACCAGCCGAGTGCGAGTCGTACTCGCGCACGAATGGTTCGGTACCATTATCTATAAAAACGGCATAAAATCATGTCCGTTATATAGGGGCTCTACTTAAATATCTTTTTATTCTGTTTTGTAGTTTTTGTTGTTACAGCGGCAACAGAAAGACATCTTGTGTGAAAATTTTAAATGTCTAACTATCACAGTTCATGAGATACAGCATGGTGATGGACAGACAGCGGAGTCTTAGTAATAAGGTCCCGTTTTACCCATTCGGTACGGAACCCTAAAATGGATATTTTATGGGTTCTGAACTTAATGATTTATTATGTTGTTACAGTATAATAAATATAATAAATCGAACGAAACGAAAAATGTACCTCCACCACAACAGACAAAACAAGTAAGCAAGAGCACAGAACAGCCCGAAAAGAATAACTCCGTTTCTAAGAGTTGTAACGCACCTTCACAACGAGAAGTTATTATACTCAATGATGAGGTTAGTATTCTCTTACTACCAACAAGTTTTTATAAGTCTTTTATTACACAACAATAAGAGATTCGTTTGGGAGTGTTGACTTTAGCTAATAATATTATAATTAAATAATTTTTTGAGTTGTATTAACGATTTATAACGACTTCTATAGAGGAAAAGAAATATTTGTACTTTACAGTTCAAGCATTCCACACGTAACGAAAAAGAGACTGAAAATAGAGGCAACAGCAAGGTATCGGCCTCGCAAAGACTTTCCAATCTGAGAGACCGTCTAAACACGGTCGATCTTATTCCGCTGCAACTGCCGGCTCACAATAGTGTCTTGGTAAATTTTATTGCTTGTTGCTTATTAATATAATAATGAATACTATCGTCGCACTGATATATTTTGGTGTATCGCTCAGGAAAGTGCCGGTTCAGTTGCGCCCGTGGCACCGGCTCACAGCCTGGAACCTCCACCAGACTCGACCTCGTCCTTCGAGAAGCTGGAGTGGACCTGCAGAAAGTTGGGGCTGCCGCAGCCGCTGTACAAGGTGTACGACTACAGACCTAAAAAAGGTCCCGTCACCTACGACTGCACTGTCAAAGTAAGCTGCGAACGCACGACCGTATTCCAAATTTTAACGAACAATAATAATAATAAATAAATGTTTATTTTTTATCAGTACTTGTAAAAATACGGAAACATTTTTCTGTGGCTCACAAACTAGGCGATACATGTGCCTTGGAAGTCGGAATGCGCTTTTATTATAACATAAATTTATGGCGGCAGACAGGCGATAGTAAGGTCTAGGACGGTGTCTATAAAAGATAATTAAGATAAATACGTGGTATAATTGTATAAATTGGTTTCATTTTTGCGTATTTAAGTTAAATAAAGTTCCGGGTAAGTAACAGGGCCTCACATAAGATCGGCGTGAAGATCGCGTCACAACGCCTCTGCAAAGCCACGGGTGCTACAAATGACAATCGAAAGCGGTTATTACTAAACATCAGGTGAGCTGCCAGCTCGTTTGCCAGCATCTTAAATAAAAACAATAACATTTTGTAACTTCGCATCCCTTGCTGAGCCTACCAAAAGCTTTCACTACATCCTGGGTTGACTGGTAGAGAAAGCCTATGGGCATTATTTCCCCTAATGATTCGTTGCCTTTTCTATTTAATGTTGGAAATAAATCTTAAATAAATAAATAAAACAAGAGACCGCGATATCTTTTGAATATCCGCTTCTGATGCAATATTCGTGGCATTCCATTCCTATGGGGCAATTTTGCAAACCGGTCTCCGGCGTCGTCCTGTATTCGCGGCACTGTTGTCGTACAATACTCGGCGGACGCGCGGTTTAAAGGCGGGGGTTCCTCGCAGGTGGGCAACAAGTACTCGGCGACCTCCTACCCGGACTCGTCGCCGTCGGGCGATCTCGCCAAGGAGGTGGCGGCCGTGAAGGTGCTGGCCTCCATAGAGGGCTCTGAGGTGAGCGGCCTGCCGACGGCGAGCGCGGCCCGAGCGGTCATCCGCCTCGCCGACCTCGTGGCCGAGCACGAGGCCGGCCTCTGGGCCAACATCGTGCCCCACATGTACAGGTGAGCGGCGCCGATGATACCGAGGGACACCGGTGCGTTCCATGGGAGATGCCGGAGTCCCTCCAAATGTACAGAAGGTGGCCACCGAGGGGTTTATCTCTCCCGATACCAAAAAAGAAATAAAAAGGCCGTGGGTACGTTACCCGCGCGAGGCTGAACTGTTTGTGCGACCCAAGGCCGTTTGACACACAATCCGGGTGTCTTTTCACGTGAAATTTGTGTGGGCAAAACGTCCTTACTACGCAGGATGTTATCCTATAGTTATTGACGATGTTTTCGAAGGGAATACTACAGTAGGTCTTGTAGGATACAGTGGTCGTTGGAACTTAATACCCAACCTGTACCACGTTAATCTTAATACAGCGGCATCGCCCGCGCCTTCAACGGTTGACACGGCCTTTATTTCGATCCCTTGATCTATTAATTCAAATTAGATACTTGACCCGGAACATAAGTTAATGTTACACTATTAGCGACCAGGTCATGCACACAAAACTATTTCACTCGTCGGGCAGGTACAAACACCTCAAAGATTACCGGATCTATACAGATGTATTTTTGCATGTCCAAATACAGTACACTATTCTTAAGTTTCGGAGAGACGACGCGCTGGGCTGCGAAGGGAATATTGCCTTTTTGCTTATAATATAGTATATAGTAATAAATACTGATTTAATAGTGTTACGAACAAGTCTGTTGTTCGGTTTCCTTGACGTAAATTATATATTTTTGTATAGTGGTTTGCACATGCACCACCTTGTACGTTAGTTTCGCAATTTGGTCCGAGCGTCATAGTAGGTGAACAATTATCGAAAAATTCCTATAGTAAACCCAAATTCAAATCGAAATTTTATTTCCGTCCGGACATCGTGTAGCCTTTTTCCAATAGTTTTAATTGTGGTAAACATATATCTTTTTCCAATTTTAATTTGTTAAACATATAATTATTTTATTTTTATTTCATAAAATCTGGAATATAAACAAATCAATGAAAAAATTATAAAAGAATTATTTTTCGTGTTTATAAAAGGTTAATTTTCGTTTTAGGGTGAAAAATTTAATATTTTAATAAAACAACTAAAAACAATATACAATAAAACAAATACAATAAGACTAGTTAAAAATTTGAAATAATGAAAACTTTGTTTATTATCAAATCAGATTCTGATAGATTGTCCTCTAACTGTTGCATTCTACGTTCAAAGAATACAATAATATTCTGTTGTAATTATTTATAAAAATAAAAAATCAACAAAAATTAAATGGTAAAATATTTACAAAAAAGAAAATCACCAAAAATATAACAAAGAAATGTAGGGATTTGAACCCGATCCCTATAGAATGATGGTCCACTGTATGTATAGGACTGATAAACCATATCAATCACAAGATAAGATATTGAAATTACGCTTTAGTTGTTAATACATACTAAAATTAAAAATACGAAATATGTGAATATACATTTTTTAGTTTTGTGTTTTCGAAAGATCTAATACAATTAAATAAACAAGGAACATATTTCGTAAGGGTGAACGGAGGACGAGCGGCATAGGTTCATCTAGCAACGCGCCTCAGCGCTCTTCAACGTGTGGAATTGGAAGAGAACCGAAACAACGCCGCGGTGACTCCGTGTTTTGGCCGTCGCGTTCGAATTAATTTTAATGAATTAAATTAATATTTACAAATTTCTTACTTCAATCAACAAATTAAGACAACAATCCTTGTTATTAAAATATTCTACATCACTGATATTAATTTCATTAAGATTTGTTGATGTATTACGTTCATTTTTTTTATTTGAATTTCTCTTTTAGAGGTAGTTTCATGATTTTTTTTCTATCGAGAAAATATATCGAGAATATGTTTTGAAAACAATGCTCCATTAGATTGTAAGATCAAGATTAACATATATTTTTTTGCTGTTATAAAGTGTATAGATTGTGCTAAAATTTTTTTTGAAAAACCTATTTTTTTAAACTATTTATTTAAACAGCGCCTTAAACTTCTCTTAATGACACCCACATGACTTTATAGCCTTTCTTTCGCTCGGAGATAGTCCAGAATCGAGATATGAATAACCTTAAAGAAATGTCACATTTGAATTTGCAAGATATATCATGGATAAAATTAAACATAACAAATTACAATGGTAGGGCGACGGAATACACAGGCGCCGTGTGTCATATTGAATAAGACCGTGTCTGGTTAATAGAATTAAGCTTTGTTATTTTTATTTATTCCCGGCTCCTCAGTTGTGTCGTTTATATAATGATATTAAGAAATACTTGAAAGATTAACAGACTTTGCTGTATTTCATGCCAGCATACCAGTATGTAGTATACGTATAGTATTACAGTGTGGTATTCTGTTGACATAATACTCTAATGTAATGTATTTAATTTTTACATTTAAAATTAATATTGAGAATAAAACAGGTGTATCAGTCATTCAATAAATTTTATTTTTCCAGGGAAAAATATAACGAAAACTTGCCAAGTAACTGGCAAGAACTAATCGAAAATTGTCCCCGAATATTAAAAGATAGAGTGGTAAATGGACTCTTAGTTCTTCTACCCAACAATGAGGTGAGGCCTTCATATATATATTGATTCTATTTGTTGTTTGTTAGATGTATGTTAGACCATTGAAAAGTTGCACTTGGGGTTGCAAAAGTCTGTGTACGCACGTACGTTGTGACGTTAAATACATGTCTGTGGGGTCGCAAACCTTGTCCCGCGGGCGCCATCATGTAAAAAGGGTAACGATTGACGATACTGAATGTCGGGCAAACTGATCATCACAGAAAATTTATTAGAACGTTTTTGTTTCAAATTGAAAATTCCCTTAAATTCTATAGAATTATTATATTATTTTGTAGGAGTATTCGCCGGTAATCATTGACACGAATGCGCTGGACGAGACCATTGAGACCGACTTACCGCCACTTCAGTTCCCCGAGGATGACTTTTGGAATGTGTTCATCACCGTTGCCAACTCCACGCTGGAGATATGGCTACGGATTATTGGGCCCGAGTATAGTGTAAGTGCCGCTATCGATATAAGTATATATAAATGCGCAGCATAGTTACTTATCTCTGTATGGCTGAGATTGCACTATTTTTGATCCTTGTTCGACACAAACAGATATTTTTTTGTTTCTAACACATGAAAGCATCTACGCAATTATCTATACAGTTTAATTATGCCTTACCTCAGAACATTGCTGATCTGTCGATATACGGTTCAATAATCAATCTATAGATAGGTTTATTTATTGGCGATACGTATTTGACATTAGCTCCATAACACTTACGAGTACGTCAAAATTCTATCTCCAGTAATCAAATCTATCTGTAGATAGAATATTGAAACCGGTCGTTAGGCTCATCTTTGTTCTGCACCAGCGGCCTGTACCTTCGGCCTTTTCACCATAAAATCCCGACCTTAATCTATCACAGCATACATAGTGCCACTAATGGTAGACATTTTTCACACTTTATTATTTTACTCTTTGCAGGATATATTTGAAATGCTCCTAGCGGATATGGCAAAGTATTACGAACATTCGGGAACGAATGTGGACAAATCAATGATTATTAAAAATGCCTGGTAAGTCGTTCAACACTACCTTCCCGTTTCCCTTTGAATAAAAGAACGATTTAACAATGATAAAGAATCATTTGGAAATTAAGGCAAAATAAAAAGTGATATATTTCTATAATATTCTTATTCAATATTCTTCAAAATAAAATGCAGTAAAAAAGTACAAAAGTAGCACTATAATTACAACTCTAATATTATTTTCACTTTAGTGAGGTAATATCAGCTTGGTAATGTATTTTTAATATAATCTGCAGTTGCCTTCGCATTAAATAAATAACTGTACATGCATACTAATGACATTGGAAATTGGATTTTTCTCGTCGTAAATGTTGCTCACACATTAATCCAGTAGTGGAGGCGCGTGGAATTGTTTAAATTATTTTTCCATTCATCCTCGTGCTAATTATGGTATACGTTTGTAATTTAATTCCTCGGTTATCTCAGGTATGCCGTGAACCTTGACGACGGTGGCTGGCAACGTGCGAAGATTTTGGAAATAGAAGAAGACACGGCGAACGTGTTCCTGGGCGACCATGGCGATGACGACACGGTTTATTTGAATAAGATAAAGATTCTTGAGCCGCAGTTCAGGAAACTGCCTGCGCAGGTACAGACTTGAAAGCAAAGGTCCTAGAAAATGATCAGGCAAGTGATCTTGACCCGTGGGATGCGGGCATAACATCCTTTACAATAAAAAACGTAAAGTAAAGTAACAGCCTATACATATCCCACTGCTGGGCAAAGGCCTGCTTTGTACAGAGGGTATTAGGTCATAGTTTACCGCGCGGCCCCACTTTTGTTTTTTTTTAAGTCAGAACTTAAAATTAACAATTTCATTAGTGACAGCACCAGGGGTCGAACTCAGGTTGCTTGAGTATTAAAGGCGAGCGCCTTTTTTTTTCTTATTAAAAAACAATGCCCTCACTTTAGGATAATTTATTATTATGTGTTGTAAGGACGTTTTGCAAACATAAATTGCACTAGGACAAACACGCAGATGCGAAAAAACTACCTGTGGGTCGCACAAATAGTTGTCCCGTGTGGGAATCGTACCCACGACCCCCGACGCCGAAGTCAATACCTTGACAACTGCGCCACGGAGTCTTAAAAGTTTAGTCTTCATAAATACAATTGTAGTGCAATTGGTGGTAAGATCATTGCTAACCAGGACTTTGCATGTACAAAATTCCGAAAAACTTCTCCATCACAGGGCCAAAGGAGCACACGTAATATTCTTAATATGAAAATATTGAATAAGAAATATGAAAAAATCTCCACTTCAGCCTCTTTCGCGTGTTTAAGAAAACTGCGAAATACGTTACTTTGTTCGTTGGCACTACGCTAGTGAGTAATGTTATCTGGCAGGACACTTAGCGAGTGTGGTATTGAAAGATATTTATTTATTTATATATATATATATACTTTATTGCAATTACCTTAATCAAGGATTACAAAGGGCGAACTTAATGCCTTTAGGCATTCTCTCCCCGTCAACCCGGGGCGTGGAGATAAATTGTGGTAGGTGCAATAAAAAAAAAAACGAGATGTAATATGAGACTTGGCGGAGAGGTGAATAAATCGGTTTCTGTTCCGCTCCCACTACGCGTTGGACAGTTTGCTAAAGTGACTTGTACTCGACGGTACACGCGCACCACTCGCGAAGATGGACTTCATTTAGGCGGACGGTTCACGCCTACGGAGGGCGAGGTACAGTCACGCCTGAATGTCGCAGCACGGTGTGGTTTAGTCGCCGTTTGGGCGCAGGCGATCCTGTGCCGCCTGGACGGCGCCGAGGAGCTGGCGGCGAGCGAGACGGGCGCGGCGCTGGTGCAGCGGCGGCTGCCGGGCGAGGTGCTGGTGGCGGCGCCCGGGCCCCGCACCGATCCCACCGACCCCGCCGTCGCCGTTGTCCTCTACGACACCTCCACGCAGCGCGACCTCAACCTCAACAAGGAGATCGTGCACGACTTCTGCATCGCCGGCGCCTTCACGGTCACGCAGGTGGAGTTTTTACTTCTCTGTTTACTTATGGGCGTATCGAAAAAAAATATCTAGGCCGTCTATAAATAACCGATTACGTATTTATTTTTAGGAAAAAGGAGGCAAACGAGCAAGCAATGTTTAATTTTCATCGTAACCTTATGTGATGGTCACAGATATTATTTTTAAATCTATTTTACGTGAGCAGCGATGAAATTTCCTTTCGTTGTTGGGTGTTGGCGAGCAGAAGTTCTGCGAGGTGGAGGTGGGGTGCGTGACGGAGGAGGGGCGGGTGTGGGTGTCGCGCGCGGGGGGCGCGGGCGTGGTGCGCAACGCGCTGGCGCTGCTCACCAGCGGCCCCTACCGGCGCCCGCTGCCCGCCGCGCCGCACGCCCCGCCGCCGCAGGCCGCGCTCTTCATCGTGCGCACGCTCGCCGGCGACTGGTGCGTAGTGCAATCGCGAACGTGGCCCATGGGTACACGTGTACACATGGATAACAGGCCGTTCTCTCTGCGTGTGATCGTCGTGTAAACGTTCGCCGGCGATCGGGGCGTGGCGTACACTTGTAATCGCGGCCCATGGGTACCCGTGTACATACGGCAATTCCTCTTACAAGAATTTTTACCGTTGCACAAGACCGATTTTCTTCTTTGTCTTAAAGCGGAGCATTTCTTCCCATTCGTTTAATTAAAATTAAAATGAAACTAGACAAAGTAGACAGAGTGATATGGGGTTTCAAAAATCTTGGTTTCCAGAATTTACATAAGGCTGGCCTTCTCGGAAAAGATTTCGCTTGTTGCACCGCAATTTTATTGACAGATCTACAGAAGAGATAATATAATATTATACAGGTAATATTAACGCCATTAACTGTCTGTGAGGTCGTGGTACTTAACCAGACGGACCTGCCCGGTCGTGTAACAGTGGCGCATAAGTATAAAAAGACTTTAACGTGTAAGTTATCTTGACGTCCGCACCGATTGGCGTGTTTGTTTCCATTGGGCAGGGTGCGTTGCCGAATCATTAGCGCCCTGGACGGCGAGGGGACGGTGCGCACCCAGCTGGTGGACAGCGGGCTCATCCTCCGCGCGCCTCTCTCCTCGCTGGTGCCTCTGCAGACCTTCTCGCCAGCGCTCAACGCCTACCCGCCGCAGGTTGCGTCATCGTTCCACATTCGTAACCACACGGATCTAACAAGACCTTACACTTTGGAAATAAATACGCTTGGCCAAATGTGATGATTAATCGTATCGATGGTCAAGCACATGTTTTTATTGTGTCTTACGTATGATGATTATATGCCGTTATTCCACGGATCCACTTTTCGATATTTGTCAAGACTTGCTTTAAATTATTAAAACTAATCACAGTCACCTGGAGGAAAGTGTAGCAATATATTTTACAGGGTCTTGAATCAATTCTACTGTCCAGTCACCCGAGCTAGTACACCTTTTGAAAGGAGCTCTGTGTCCGAACAGACAACGTCGATTGCGTAAGAGATTTAAATAAGTCCAAATTGGGTAAGGCGGTGGTAAGTATTGAAAAAGCTGGTGTAGTCAACCTGGTATAATACGGCCACGCAACAAGCGCCCGTTCCGCGACATCGTGTGTGATTGAAGCCATCCAGCCGCAGTCCGCCGAAGCCACTCCGCCTAACGTCGAGGTACTAACTCCGTGAAGCGTCGAGCAGCCTAGGCCACCTTGTCCGGAACGTGTGCGCCGTACACGCCTCGCCGAGACCACGCATCCCCCGCGACAGCGAGACTACGTGTGCGACCAGCACTGCGTCTCCCCTTTCGTTAGAAAAGGGCAGGCAGTGCACGCGCTAGGAAGCGCGACGATCACCTCCATACACTGCGGCCTTGATACCCCTCCCTGCTCGCTGGGCGCTTCGCTGGGCCTCCCCTAGGGGTCTCACCCGGCTAAGTGGCCCGCGCCGAAGGGAGTAAGGATCATTGCTCGCCTGGGGACTGATCTCACCCGCAACAACGGGACACGACGGAGCCGCGAAGGATGGAGGGCATATCGCCCCCCAAGCCTCGCAGGAGGACCCGTCCACCTGCAGTAGTGGACCAACCGATCGCCGAGGAAGCTAAGCTCCCGAGGGAGAAGTTGCGCCCGCAACCGCAGAGAAGCCAGCCGATCGAAGAAGACCTATCGACCAGTGAGGAGGAATACCGCCGGAGCGCCGCGAGTATAACGGAGGTGGCGGGAGTCAAGGCCGACGGTGGTGCGTCAATGTACGCATCCACCCCGGCTAAGACGTACCACCGCCGCAAAAGCCGCAGGCGACATACGCCGCCAGAGACAGAGGCGTCGCTCCATGAGAAGCGACTACAATGTGTCGAATCACCAGCCGAGGAAGACGACCCAAATACAAGGGCAGCCACCCCGTTCGCTATCCTATGATTCGGTGCATAGTTCCCCGGAACGCAACGAAGCTCCCATGGATATACCACAAAATATGACGCAAAGCACGTCATATGCAACCATAGCCAAGGCAACCTCACCAACACCCATTGCATCCACGTCAGCGCAACCTACGATGGAACCAACAAGCGCCGCAGCACAGGAAACCACTAAAAAAGGCTACCCACCAATAGTAGTGGAGAACCTGCCCGATTGGGCAGTGCACTTCGCCGAGATTAAAAGAAAGCTCGGGCACGCCCCCAACGCAAGAGCGCGCGGGAAAGGCATCCGATTTCTCCCCCAGTCCGCACAGGAATATAGAATCATTCAAAGACACATGATTGAAGCCACCGAAATAAACAGTGCCATCACATGGCACTGTTACGCACCCGCTGAACAACTACCCACTAAGGTGGGAATAAGAGGGCTGCCTGAAACTACGCCTCCCGAGGAAATCACAGAAGCCCTTCGTCAATTAGGCTTCCCAGCGACCTATACCAAGCTTATCCCGCCTATCAGAAGTAGGAATATGTGTATATTCTTTACACAAATAGATCGCCTAAACAATTATGAAGCCGCAAGATTATACGGAGTGAGCGAGCTGCTCAATATGCCGGGAGTTTCCATCGAGGGCTGGAAAGGCAGAGCCGGCCCCGCGCAATGCCACCGGTGCCAACAGTTTGGTCATGCTTCGTACAATTGTCATAGACCAATTGTGTGCGTAAGAAGCGCAGGAAACCATTTAGCCGCAAGTTGCCCTGTGCCCCTTACAACGCCGGCCAAATGCGCAAACTGCGGACAAAGACACCCCGCCAACGATCGTCGATGCCCTGCCTTCATACGGGAGGCAAGAAAAAGGGGTATTAAATTAAACCCGCCGCGCCCGGAAACAACAAGAAACAATGATGGATGGATAACTATCGGCGAACGTCGCCGGAGGGTAAGGGGGGAGGAAACAGTGCCCCCCCCCCCACCACCACAGACGTCCCCCTGCAGTCCGACATAGAACGGACGCAAACTATGGAAACCGCATTACAACACCCCCCCGGGGAACGAACCACTCGGGAGGATATATATAGACCACCCACATCGACCGCGGGTTACTCTGCCCCCGCCGCTGCTACATCAAGATCATCAACTACTACTACTGTTACAACACTGCAACCACCGGCAAACTCAGCTACGAGTAATATTAGAAGCCACCGTCGTAGACGCCGCGGGCGCACCGCTCCCGCGACAACATCCCAAGAAAATAGATTACCGACGATACGATAATCGCGATCGCGACCAGGCCACTACTACGGAAACGGAGACGGCACTACCACAGCGCCCCCCCCCCCCTCCCCCGCTCGAGAAACCGCTTACCGCAAGTTAGCGATACAAGAAGACTGCAATTCGCAGAGACGCAGCAGAGCCACCACTAACGCGCCGCCCCCTGCGCTCCCAAGGAAACCAAAACACAATTGAAGCCAACACAGCAGAAGAATTCGCCGAATTGCTGCGGTGTTTAATCCGCGCCCTATCAGAAGCCTTCGCAGACATCCTCACCGACATGGCGAGAGGTTCAACCCCTGGGAGCGCGGTCACGCGCGCCTTTACCGCAATGCTCGCTAACCACTATAGCGAGCATTGAATTATGCTTACATAGGTGCCTCGTTCAAGACGCACTTAATACTGTCACGCCTTTAGGCGTCAAATACCGGGAGTCCAGTGTGGCCCCCGCGACGAAGCCCGGGTCATGAGGTTATATCCTCGACACCCGTACCTGCAGGCCCTCCAAGGCCATGTAGAAGACCCGTGTGGTGGCCACGCAACAGTCTTCGCTGTTGCGCGAATGGGCAGGTCCGAGGCAGAGGCAAAATTTGGCGGCAAATGTGCGGCAGATATCACTTACCTCCAGGTGAAACGCTAGATGGCGTTGTTGTAAAAAAAAACGTTCGTGTCTCAAGCGGGTTGGGTGCGCGCAGGCGATCCAGGTGCGGCTGGGGCCGGCGGAGCGCGCGGCGGCCGCGATGGCCGGCCGGCTGCGCGAGATGCTGATCGGCGCGTGCGTGCTGTGCCGCGGGCTGCCGGCGCCGGCCGCGGGCCTCGGCGGGCCCCCGCACGTCGAGCTGTTCGTGCGCTTCGGCCCCCAGGCCATGCTCGCCTCCGTCAACAACTGCATCCTCACGGAGTACGACTTCCTGCAGCTGTGAGTATACGCGCGACGTACACGTACCGCAACCCACCTGATTGGCGGGCTCGCAGGGTTGCCGACTGTTTTTGAGAAAAATAACGTAATATCACATTTTTCGAATACGGAAAAAAATATTTGAAAGAAGAAAATACAAAGGATTTTTCGCATCCTAGCATACTAACAGTATTTGACATCTGGCCGGAAAAAAAGTATTTAATTTTGGTGCAAAAGTATAAAGCCAATAAAAAAGTAGAATACGTTATTATAAACAGACTAGCTGACTCGGCAAACGTTGTTTCGCCATATTAATTATTTCTAGAGGTATCGGAACGCACGCGTAAAGTGTTTGACAGGTTACACAGACATAGTTGACAGGTACAGTTTGTAGAGGAAAATAAAATTGTTGCTATTTCGATTTTCCAAGCTATTTTTCCATAATTTCTCATCGTTTAAACCTTCCCTGGACTGCCACAAATATTTCAAATGCAAAATTAGACAAATCGGTCCAACAGTTCTGGAGTTTTAGCGAGACTAACGAACAGCAATCCATTTTTATATATATATAGATTACATTGACAACGGTAAAACTCACTAATCTGTGTTCAGATCTATGGTTCCTAGCTTAAATCTCAAATTGTGATTTTTATTGTAGAATATAGTTTTTATTGTTTTTAAGTTAGGCTTAAATAGAAAAAAAAAATTTCGCGTTTATTAACTTATCAGTTTTTTAACTGCTAATAAACTTAATAAAGCTAATTTGCAGTTTATTAAATTACCTATGTTGATGTGATTATTTGATTAAGATATTTATAATGAAAAAGTTAAACGTCGTTCCATTCAATCCAGTTCATCTTTTCATTAAAGTAACATTCTGATCCTTTGATAGTTTATAAGTTACAAGTTTCAGTAATGTTACTTATTATTAACTAGATAACATTACTAGTAATGTAAATTTTTTATATAAACCTATGTTAAGTTTATATATAAAACCTTAATTGGTGAATGATTTTCATTTATTTATGACTGCTAAGTAGGGACCACAATTTCATAAAGACATTCATATTATAATTATTTTGGCGCGGTAAAATTAAAAAATTCTCGGATAAAGTAGTAGTTTGTACGGAACCCTCGGTGTGCGGCTTCTTGCACTCGCATTTTGTTGCTTTTTATAATATAATCCATATTGCGTTTTCGAAGAACTTCTAACGTCTGCCGCTCTCGAGACATTTCCAACTTTAACTTTGGAAAACGCTCCTCCATAACAGGGTTATTTTCAATACTTTTAAACAAATTTTAATGTCCAGTGGCCTGCCGTCTTTACCAGTATACCGTTTGAAAAATCAGTTGACTTCTTGTCTCGGCAATGAAAGAAACTCTTCACATTGCAGTGGCAAGTTGAAAGAAGACGCGAAAGACGCCACGGACCACGTGGAGGCGTTGAATAAGAAGAAGGAGCGTATATTCCGTACGACGTCTGGGGGGGCCATCGGCGGTGCGGTAACGGGTGTGGCATCGAACGGCGAATCGCGACACACGTTGCCTCCCCCCGCACTCCCTGCGCCCGGCAAGTGCTTTGACGTATACATCGCCATGGCTGCCAGCCCGTATAACTTCATTGTAAGTGCTGCCACTCTTTTAACATATTTCTCATTTGTTCACCCCCTTCTGACTTGCAGCTGTTTTTCCTCGGTCTCATGTACTTGTCACTTATTTTAATATATAGGTCCAGTCGAATACCACGAGACACGTTTTGTTAACAATGATGTCTACATTGCAAACCGAGTGCCCAAAACTGACTGAAGCTGAGGCACCCGTCAATCCCGTTAGCGGTGAATTGTATACACTTTGTTATGAAAAAGATGCTTCATGGTACAGGTAAACTCAATTGATTACATACTTTAAATATTTTTGTAAATATTTATTGTAAATTGTAAAAAAAAAAATAAGTAAATTTTGATTGATTGTTTCTTTGTAACTACTTCATATGTTACCATAGTATATAACACGCTATAGAACAGGAGAAATTCTGAAAATTTTCTAAAAATTAACTGTCTGAGAATATAATCTTTTTTCTTCATTGTGGCGTCCTAATAAGTACTAATAAATAATAATACACACAAAAGTAAGTTAATATTATAAGTTTCTTAATCTGACTTATAACTTTACAGGGTAATTATAGCTGGATCTGTATCAGCAGAGATGGTCTCCGTTTATTTTTGTGATTATGGCGATTTAGCTCTAATCGCAATAAAAGACTTGCGGCCGGTGCCTCCAGGAGCGCCTCTAGCTCTTTCATTGCCGCCACAAGCCATTAAAGCAAAACTTTTTGGTAATTAAATAAAGTTTCATTTTTTTTTACCAAAATTTTATGTATCTTTTATAATTATTATCTCTTAAGGAGCCGTATGCAGTAAGTATAGGTTTTTCAAAAGATTTTTTAACAAAATCTATACATTGTATAGCAGCAAAAAAAATGTGTTAGTCTTGATACTGTTGATTACTGTTGTGTTCATGACGCTCTGACCACTAGGCAACGCGAAGTCTGTGAATCTAGTTATAATTGCTGTCGTTTTTTGTTTTGTTTTTTTTTTACATTACCTGTACTTTAGGATAACATTATCCTGTGTTGTAAGGACGTTTTACAAAAATAAATTTCACGCGGACAAACACCCAGATACGAAACAACTATATTGTGGGTCACACAAATAGTTGTCCCCTGTGGGGATCGAACCCACGACCCCCGACGCCGAAGCCATTATTCTCTATATTCTCAAGTGTCAATCATTTATCGATATGATAAGGATTTTATCGATAGATTTTTAAATTTCATTTTAAGTTGAGAAATTAATATAACGTAGTAAGTCTTGAACATTTATAGGATAAATTAAAATTCCTAATATATAAAAAAAAATGTAATAAATAAGTTTTTTTGAGCCATTTCTTTAAAATCACAATATAAACCACAAAAACAAAAATAAATCACTATACGATTATTATTGTTTTGTTGTAAAATGTAATTTGCCTTTATTAATTCATTTGACTTTAAGATGTATTTTTAATCAATTCCTTTTCGAGTGAATTAAAAAAATAATAATAAACAGGAAGAAGATTTTCTAAAATTTTTGATTTCTTTCTCATACTTTTTATTTGTTTATTTATTATTTTTCCTATTATAATATAAAAGTAAAAGACAATCATTGGCTATAAATATATAGGAATCATCTATGTACATTTTCGAAAACCTCCCACGATACTATCGATAGTATCTTACGAGCTACGGCCCACCACTAATAGGTAATGAATAAAGATCACCCGGCGCGTCGACGAACCTCGTGCGGTGCGCCCCGCTAAGCGGGGTTAGCCCTCCGCTTCCTCATACTTCACCACCCAAATAGTTAAAAATTCACTGCATACAGCGCCTTAAAATTGATATGATTTATTATTTTTAACAGATGTGCTGCCTCTTCATCAAGACTGGGCTGTGGAAGACTGTATTAGATTTCAGGAGTTATGTGTTGAACAACAGTTTGTTGGAATCTGTAAGGAGGTGGGAAAGGATCCGCTAAATCCAAATGAACCCCTTCTTACTCTTGATCTTATAGACACCTCAACAGATGAAGATATATATTTAAACAAGCAACTGTGTGTTGAAGGTAGGGCAAAACTTGCTTCTGGTTCATAAATGGTATCTGTTTATCCACAATAACTCATTGTTACGTTTTTCTTACTTTCGTTTTGTAAACTAAAGCAATTATATGTCAATTGTGACTATATTGGCTTGAAAAGTACTATTCAGAAATGTTAATAGTATATGTATGTATGTTTGTTTGTCTATCGTTTATGTTTAATTTGTTTTGTGATTGTTGTGATTATAGTCTCTTAAAATCATTATGAGGCATAGTGGGTAATTTAAAATTTGGTAAATGTAGGGTATATATAAAATACTCAGTACCATTTATTCCATATTTATTCTCTTAGCAATACAATATTTACAATTAAGTTTAATAATGCCCTGGTCTTCTGTTAACTTTTTAAATACATATGCACTGTGCATTAGAAGTTTCTTATAATATTAAAAGATTTTTGAATATAGTAATATCACAACTTAAAAAGGAATGGAGAGAAATCGTATTTGAAGTCTCTTGAAAGGCAGCTTTTCTGCAGGGTTTGCACAATATATATGTATAAATATGTTTTTCATAGTAATTTATTCTACGAGTACTAGAAATAAAATGAAAAATAAAAATGTAAACAAAAAAATTACAATTTCGCTAGCTTATTACAACTATGTTAATGTACATGTATGTAACTGTAATATGTTGAGGATACCATAATAAAAAAACTGAGATACTGATTCTTTTAAAAGTTACAAATAGAGACTGAAAGGTATTTTTGCAAGTCTCAAAAAGTGTCAACCTGGGCTGACGTGTCCTAAGAGTGTATGCCGCTTGGGCCCGTTACCGCCCCTCTCACCCCGCAAACCCTGTATGATTGGTCTGTCTCGACATGTCAGACTGTAAGTTCATAGACTGTGTGACTGTAATATGCAGCAGTATTGTAATACATTTCATAGAAAGACAATTTTTAACAAGAGATATGCTGTAGAGCATTTATAATATTCCTTGTTTGTTTGATATAGCTTGAAGAACTAAAGTACCTATGCCATAACTGTTTTCGAGCATTAGGGTATGTATGTGTATTTAATCTCAAAAATGTATTTACCAGTGTATTTAAAGACATGTTTATATTTCTTCTAAAAAGATTTATATTCACAATTTTGCACCTGCCACTATTTAATCAGTTAGTAGAACCAATTAAGTAATTCACCTAAGTATTAATATGCTAGCAGCTTTTATCCGTAAATGGGACAGTATAATTTACCTGTATGCACATGCTAAATAAACATCTAAAATTGATTGCTGTTTTATTTGTTAACCCACCTTGTGCCCGCTGCAATTCAGTTTTCACAACGTTTTTTGACGCGCTGTCTATCTTGGTGGATAAAACTGAAGGTAGTCAGCCAGTGCTCGGTTTTAATTTCAAGCTGGAAACTAACCTCAAATTACAGTTCCGAAAACCTTATGCAAGTCTCGCAACCTCTCATGCGGAAACTTTATGCAAGTTACAACACTTTGACACAATTGATTTGTCACAAGTTAGGTACGAAGAGAGTCAAAAACAATACGCATCTAGTCCAGGTTTTTTAGAGCTGGAAAGCAACGATATGCTTAAAATATTCGATCGCAATAAAACCATTAGCTGCAACAGAAAAAACTCTGGCAGCCGTTACACATGGCTTAATTATTCAAAATGAAAAATTACTTGAAGGCCTTCAGAAATTACTTTCATAGCTGGGTTCAGGTCAGCCTTTGACCACTGACGATGTTTTGAATAAAATAAATGAGATACTTTCCGGCGAATACAATCAAACGCATTTGGATCGCAAAGGTCTTTAGAATTTCTAGGCGTGCAATGGGGTCCATGGATAAACAGGAAGAGTCTTCCATTGACCAAAGTCGAGAAGCTGTTAGCGAAATCCAGAATCCTCTTATCGAGGAGGATGGCTTCGTTACGCCAAATACAATGTTATATCTAGGCCTGTGCAATTTCGCCAGTTTTGTAGTCCCCAAGGGTCGATTGAACTCTCGCCCATTACTGTCACACTGCCATCAGTTGTCGAAACAGAATTCCCAATTCCCGACCAAGTATTGATGGTGATAAGATGGTGGTTAGCTCACGCCCACAAACATTCTCCCCTTCATTTCCCTGCCCCGGAGATGTTCCTAACAGCCGACGCGTCAGTTCACGGTTGGGGAGCACTATTAAAAGATTTGAAAATGTCAGGCACGTGGCAGAGTCACGAAAAAGAGTTTCACTCCAACGTTCTAGAGATGATGGCGATAGAAAAAGTTCTGAAACTAAATTCTCGGTCCATCATGAACTTGTCACTGCAGATCTTGTCGGACAATCGCACAGTAGTTTCTTATCTCCGGAACGAGGGAGGAACCAGGTCTTTACCGCTAATGAATATCACGGTGCGAGTTTTAAGGTTGTTGGATCGGTACCATATCCCCATGGCAATAAATTACCTCCCCGGCCGTTACAACGTAGAAGCCAATGGTCTATCCAGGTTGCAAGCCAAGTTGGAATGGCATCTTCGAAATTTGAGTCATCAAATTTCGCCTCCTTGGGAAAGGCCAGTAATAAATGTGATAGCATCAAGCATTAAAAAATAGCTACACACTAATAATAATTATCTAATTTTTATTTAAAAAAAAATTGCCATGAATTTTTTATGTTAAATACCAAATAAAAACTGTGGTAGGGCCACGCAACAGCTTCGGCGGTAGCACGAATGGGCAGGTCTGTCCCGAGTAAATAACATGACCCACACAGAAGACTGGCGTGAATTATAAGTGTCATACTTCTGCGTTTCGCCTGGTGAGTGAGGTAGCCGGGGCCCAATATTATAAGGTGGCAATGCATCAGCAACCCTATGGGTGTTGTAAATGTCTATGGGCGGCTGTTATCACTTAACATCAGGTGAACCGCCAGATCAATTGCTGCCTTCTCACTCACATAAAAAAAATATATACAATGAAGTTTTTATTTAGCTTACCGTTTGTTGTCTTTTAACACATTGTAAAAACTATAAAACATCCATATTGCACAATAATATGATTATGACTTGTAACAACACCCATGACATTGTGTGAAACAATTGAATTGGTTGTTGTTTCATTTTGGTATTAAGTTAAAAATCCACAGCCTATTCTTTGAAAGAGAATGTAACAAACAAGGTGTACAGAAACATGCAAGTAAAAATTGGTAAATGCCAGATGGTAAGAAATTGTAAATGACAAATATTATTGTAATTGTACTTTTACATGATTTAATTGCAAGTTTGCAGTGACTAATATTGATTAACTTAATTACAAGTCATATTAAAAGGAATTATTTGATACATGTGATATTTTCAATATTTATTAGTTTTTTTAATAGTTTTGAAAACATACTTGAGTATATACATATGTATAAAGACTTGAGAATACAGAGAACATTTCAGTATATATGTCTTATCTATGATAGGGAATAATGATGACTCTGTGGTGCCATTGCCAAGGTATTGGCTTCGGCGCCGGGTATCGTGGGTTCGATTCCCACAAAGGACAACTAGTTGTGAGACCCACAGATAATTATTTCGGATCTGAATGTTTGACAGCGTTGAAATTTATGTATGTAAAACGTCCTTACAAAACAGGATAATGTTATCTTACAGTAAGGGAAATGTTTTTTTTAAAACAAAAAAAAATACAGCGGTGGTCATATAATTAGAAACACTTCTTATGAATAAAGAAATTATAATTTCAACGTACTAATGTTCGTAAAAAGTATACACATGCAATAATTAATAATCATGCAATAATATAGCTGCTCAAAAAAAACTTATTAAATGCATAAAATATAAAACATATATTACTTTAAAATTCAAAATGAGTCTTACACATGTAGGAGTTTATTTTGTTACTGGCCGCTTGGATACCTAATTAGAAACATTTTAAAATGTATAGCTCGCTTTTTTTGAAATTTGAGAATAACATTTCTTTCTTATATTTTTTTATCAGAATGGCAGCAATTCAAAATTGAATCTGATTTTTATTTGTTCAAAATGGGCAAAAATAAAAATTGTCACGTGTCAACTAGGCAAATAATTGTTAATTTACATATAGATGCTAAGTGAGCATACAGAAGAATAGCTGAGCATTTAAATTGTTCTGTTAAGAAAGTTTTTAATGCTATTGATCATTATAAAACACATGGATGTTGGAGTCAGGAGTTTATAGATATAGAAACTACTTAACAAAAAAAAGTAAACATAGAGTGACAATAGGTGTCTTGACTTGTGGAAAAAAATAGATCCGTCGGTTCATGAAGTAAAAAAATAAAATAAAATACCATCCGCGTAGTTAACTCTAATTTATAAAAGCGTGTTAGTATATTATTTCGTAACTGCCGGTGCTCTGCGATTTAAAGATAGGACTCTAAGATCTTTAAATGGAAATATTAAAAATGTTGTTAGAAAGGCACAGTCGAGAAAAACCTCTCCTAAAGAAGATACGCTAATCGTACGTGTTGCTAAAAAAGACCCAAGTAAAGGCTCCAACCAGATTAAAAATGAAGTTCGCCTGATGACCCGAGAAACATCCTGTAAAGACTGATACGCCGAAGATTAGTGAAAGCAAAATTGTTTGGAAGAATCACTCGAAAGGTACTGCTTCTTACCAAGCAACACCGAGAGAAACAATTATTATTACCTAAAAAATCTGTTGTTGGACCGTATGAGAATGGATAAGTGTTATTTTTAGATGAAACTGAAATAAATATGATAAATTCCGAAGGAAAGCGCTATGTTAGGCGTACTTTAAACAATCCTTATAATTATAAACACACGAGGAGTATAGTCAAGCACATTGGCGGTAACATTAAAGTTTAGGAGTGTTTTTCGGGATGTGGAATTGGACCCATTCGGAAGATTCAATGAAGGTGCAATGGATCAATGGCAATACAAACTGCAATTGTGTAATGGGATTTATATTGTTTTTCTAATAAATGATATGAACTATTTATCATTTCATAATGTTGCCCTATTTATTGTTTAATTTCAAAATAAAAACAATTTCGGCGTAGTATCTTACATAATGTTAAGGACCGTTGGTAGTTTCAAATTAAATGACCACCACTGTATATTATAAATGCCTTAAAAGAAATTTTGTTTTATTAAAAATTTAAAATAAAAAAAATTGATCAATGTGTATCAATTATTATAATTATTTCCGTAGTTCATCTGTTGTAATACCATATTTCTTTTTCAATGTATCCAATTCTTCTTGTTTCTTTTCTATATCCATGCCTTTGAAGGCTTTATTTGATCTATAATATAGTACCACCAAATACCTATTGCAGACATTAAAACCAGACAAATGATCACAGGCATTTTTAGCATCAAATATATCCTCATAGACAACAAATGCTGTCCCCCTTGTTTCTGGTGTATTTCCACTGTAGAATAATCAAAATCAAAAATATTAGAAACAATTTGTATTAAAATACACTCTCTACGGTCACAAAAAATACTTACACACGTATTTGTCGAATTGCGCCATACTTTCCAAAAATATCGTACATTTCTTCTGCAGAAATTTTATACGGCAAATTTCTTACGTAAAGTATTCTATTAACCTCGGGGGGTAATCGCACCTAAAAGTTTAAAGATATTTTAAAAAAATCAGGTTTCGTACATAAAATAACCAAAAACAAGGTTAATTCAGAAAAATGCAAAATTCTTAGCCGATGCCGTATTATAAAATAACTAATGAATAATAAAAAATTTGGACTAGTGGTTTAACATTATTAGGTTTTATTATTAGTATGTTAGCATATACTTACATTGGCTCGTCTCTGTAATGCTAAAGCCATTTTGAGCTTACGAAATAAAAATGTACTTAAAAATATAACGTAACTTATTACATTCAATTAGATTCCAAATCCTTATTATTTTAAGGTTAACTAATATTATCCCAACAATGTATTACTATTTTAAAAATCTATTCTGTTCTCTCTTATTGGTTGTCATTGTCATTTTAGTTAGATGAAGCTAAAACGACAGATCTATCAGGGTATTGCATATGTCATTCAGCCAAGTCACCTGAAAAATGTTTAATAATACATATAAAGAAACATAATATATGTAAAGTTTTAAAATTATTTTGTTTAAAGCTATACTTTGCAATTTTATATTTCTTCCTCAAAACTATTCGCGTAGATTTAAGTTTTATATATTTTCCAAAATACCTGGTTATGTAAAACAAATACCATGTTTAAACTGACTGTGAAATTTGCAACAGGATGTACAGAAGTATGAATAATACGCAAAGTTTCCGATGACATTGATGAATGATGTTTCTGATGAATTGTTTGTATGCTGGAAAGGATATAACAATGGATGCGCCAAGCATTGCTTCAAATGCTAAAACACAATGTAGATGAAAGACGTTAAGATTTTCTTCGGTGTGGTAATCAGCCGTTTAGCTTAGTGGTTAAAGCGTCAGGCCGCAAATGCCGAAGACGTGGGTTTGCTTCCCACAGCGGCGACAATGTTTTCGTACTTTTTCTACATATTTTAACACTTTAATAATTTTTTATTCTGTTTTTTTTAGTATTTGTTGTTATAGCGGCAACAGAAATCTATCATCTCTGAAAATTTCAACTGTCTAATATTCATAATGCGTGAGTGAATCCTTGAATGCATTATTGATTATGATGTCATATACATTGTAATACTTGTGGCGACTCAGTTGCTATAGTGTCATCTGGTCTAGCATTACACTAATGTTGATAAATTACTTCAATGTAGTGATTACATTCTCTCTGAATTACTATGAATTACTATAGCAACGAGTGACAATAAAAAGATAATGGTTTTCTCTCTCGCTTGTTAGTTGTACTGCACCTTAAATATTCCACTCTGCCGGCTCCCTTGTGTAGAATTTGTTCTTGCGATTTTAACGGTGTAAGAAAAATAATTAAAAAAATGTGGAGTTACTATTGTATGCTTCTGAGGTACAGATATGTGATAGAAAATGGTTCCTCAATAGTTTTATTTTCGCGGATGACGAAACATTATTGTTTAAGGTTAATAGGAAAGATGTTATATTAAAGCAACCAAATGAAATACTAAATGACGTGTCGCAAACCAACTGGTTTGCTACTAATAATTTACTTTCGAACGCCACTAAGACTAAATGTATTATAATTATTTACTTTATCTTAGTTGTCTCACAAACCAGGTATCTGTATTGATAAGAATATTCTATCCCTTGTAAATTCAACAGCATTCTTTGGCATACGCATCGACTCCAAGTTGCAATGGGCAGTTCAACTAGATAAATTAGCTAAGAAGTTGAGTGCTGCCGTCTTTGCCATACGCAAGATCAGGCAACTAACAAACGAGGCTTAGTTTATTATGCTTATTTTCACAGTATTATGTCTTATGATGGCTTACTTTGGGGTTCCGCATCCGCTTTAGACACAATTTGTATTGCAAAAGCAAGCGATACGGGCTGTCTATGGTTTGGGTCCACTTGATTTCCTTCGATATATTTTAATTTCAAATAAACATCTTAACGCTCTCGTCGCTATACATACTTGAACACATTATGTATACAGCGTGTCGTTACCATCGCGACAATAAATGAACACACGACTGACGCTACTTGCCCATAATCATAAAAAAATATTAACGTTAAAAAATCCATAATTAATTTTTTTTTAAACAAACTAATTAAGTAAAAAAGAAACACAATTTGTAACATCCTATACAACTACAACCGACTGATTCATACATTCAGAGACTTTTTCATTCGTAGCCACGGTGTCGCATTACTAGCCTCTTCTTCTAACAGTATGTTTTGTCTCTTTTAAATTCATTCAACCCATTCATATGCTTTGTGACCTTTACAAATGAACTTTAAGTTACAGTTTTATACTTAAGGATGTTCTAAAATTGTTTGTTTTGGAAAATTTAATAACTCGGTAAATATTGATGTTTAAAGAATGTAAATGTTTAATACAATTTTAAAAACTTATACTCTATAAATAATAATAAATAAATAATAATAAATAAAAATATCTTTATTCACATAGACGCTTGCGCGTTCTTATGAAACGTCAAAATTTTACAAGAAATGAACACGTTCGTAAGTTACCACCGGTTCGGAAAGCAGTTTCTGTTGAGAAGAAACCGGCAAAAAACTCAACAGTTGCTCTTTTTAAAAAAAAATCAGTTTACAATATAATAGTACATGTACAATAGTCTTGTTTTAGCCTACGTGAGTATCAACAGTATTAACCCCACACATTGGCGTCGTCAAGATATTCAGCAATAGAATAATGGGCTTTAGCCATAAGTTTACTTTTAATTTTTCGTTTAAATTCATCAAGTGGCAGACTTAATATCGACTGTGGGATTTTATTATACATGCGCACACCTTGCCCCATGAACGACCTGTTTACTTTTTGTAAACGAAACAATGGCGTAGTTAGTTTGTCCACGTATATGCGTGTTCATTTATTGTCGCGATTGTAAAGACACGCTGTATACGAAAATACGATACAACTTTTTACAAAAAAAAACATACCACATCTCACACACTAACTAAAACCAGGAAAACGTTTCTTGATTGATGTGTTAATTAACTTATATAATAGAACAGGTGACATCCACAAATAAGTGTAAATAATTAAAAAAAAATTGTAAAAGCTACCTTAATGGGACAACAATGGACAAGGATGTCTGCCACGCGTAATAACGGCAGAATTATAACGCGAACAGTTTAAAAAAATTCAACGAAATCTGTGCCTTGTATGCGTCTTTCTACGCAACCATGATTTTTTTTTATTCAAAACTTATTTATTTTATCTTATTCTTTAATTTTTTATTCAAAATTGACGTTTTATTAGAACAGTTAACGTTCCTAAAGCCGGAATGCGAATATTGTCAACCGCATAATAAGGAATGATCATCCATGCGCCCCCGGGCGCTGGCACAGTCTTCAATCACACAAGATCTCTCCACTGCGTACCGGTCGATACGCCCGTATCTCAAGGCCTCAATCTGTCAGCTGGCAATTATTAAGCAGTCCCCCCTAACAACAGCTTAGGTGTACCTTTTATGTAGATCAGTTGTATTGTGCTCCAACTTTGAAGCCCTCCTTTTATCCATTTGAGCCATAAAAATAACATCTACTATGAGATACTGTACTTACATAATCTAAGAATTTTGGAAAAAGTAACTGCCAACTAACACCAAGTTAATCACCTCAACTTATAACCTCACATCTTTATAACTGGAATATGCGGTTGAACAGAAGTGTGGTCAAAATAGGAGTCAAATAGAGACACAATAAAATATCTCGTATGGTCGTAGGTGACTTTACTTAGTAACTCAAATATAATTTGAACTTAATTGAGTTGTGAGCAACTTTAATTGATAGAAAAAGAGTTATGCACTTTATTTAAGTTGGCTGTGTACCTGTGACGGGGAAAATTAACTTTAAAATCACGTCTACACCTTTTCCTTTTTAAAGCGTAGCTGGATTTTAAAAAGCTCGGTGTCCTTAATAAATTGAGATAGTATTTCCTGCCGATCCATCGCTTACAGTTCTATAAAGAACAAATGCGGACACATGGAATACTGTTCTCACCCCTGGGCTAGGACACCAAAATACAAGCACCTTCTATGATGATGCATTCCTTTGCATTTTCTATGGCATATAGCACGTGAGTGTCCTCCTGAATTTCTCCATCGTACAACTCATCAAACCGTCAATTACCATCGACACCGCCTTGATGGGTAGCGGTCCAGCACTGTGCATTTTTTACGCAACATTCTGTCCCGCATAGCTACTTTGTGGAACAAGTTGTCTTTAGCGGTATTTCCGGACCGATTCGACTTAGGGGCCTTCAAGAAAGGAGGCTACTCCTACGTTAAAGGCCGGCAATGCAATTGTGTCAGCTCTGATTAAAAGAATCCTAGAAATTCGCCAATTCATTCCGAAAGTACTGGACGTGTTTTTTGCCTTCTTTTTATCGGTGGGGGAGTCAGTTAGATGAAAAAAGTTTCAATGATTGCAAAAAATCGTATTATGGAGTTATGACGTATTTTTCTCTCATCTGAAACAATTATAGTAATGCTACGCAACAGTCTTCGTTGTTACAGATGGCAGGTCCATCCGGTCCATTCATTGTCCACTTCTGTGAGTCAGAAGACCAGCATGAAGTGGAAGTGTAGTATTTCTTTTCTTTATGTGAGAAGGTGGCAAACGAGCTGATGGTTCACCATTATGTTATGTGATATCGTTCGGCCATGGATATTTTCAACACCAGTAGGGTTGCAGATGCGTTCCTACTTTTTAATAAATTGGTAATTATTTACGCACAATATTTACGCTTAACAAGAGATGCGCCAAGCCTTGCTCGAAATACGAAAAAACAATGTAACAAAAAGGCGTTGAGATTTTCGCCAGTGCGGAAATCGGTTGTTTAGCTTAGTGTTTTAAGCGTCAGGGTGCGAATCCCGAACGTGGGTTCGATTCCTGCAGCGGCGAAAACGAACTTTTCATCCTTTTTTTTCTACAAGTTTAACATTATAAAATACTTAAGTTTGTCTTATTTTTTGAGAATTAATGTGTAGGTAAATAAATAAAATCTAAAACTGTTTAAATGTTGTATTTATAGGAGCAAAAATCTCTGAAACATTGGAAATTATTACAAACTATCAATTTTGAAAGTTACCTTGCTGAATTGATTTCAAAAGTTTGCAATAGAGTCAATCCTTACTTCCTTATTAATGTTATAAACGCGAAAGTTTGTATGTATGGATGGATCTTTGTTACTCTTTCACGCAAATACTCCTGAATGGATTTTAATGAAACTTTACAATAATATAGCTATAATTTAGGTACATATTTTATGTATATCTGTCTTTCTATGTGAATATTACTCAACGGTGGCAGGGCCACGCAGCAGCCTCGGCTGTTGCACGAATGGGCAGGCCCGTCCGGGTAAGTACCACGACCTCACAGAAGACCAGCGTAAAGTGGAAGTATGACAAATACTTTCGCGTTTAGTCTGGTGAGTCAGGTACCCGGAGCCCACTTTCCGAAAAGGTTGTCAACCCATCTGCTACCCTCGGGTGTAGCAGATGTCCATGGGCGGCGGTATTCACTTACCATCAGGTGAACCGTCTGCTCGTTTGCCAACTTTTCACATTAAAAAAAAAAAAAATTTCAGCCTATTCTACGCAGACGTAGTCGCGGGCAGCAGCTAGTTAATTCTAAAATGCTATAAAGTTTAAATGTTGGGTGCTGAGAAAGGGGCGAATGGTAATTACTACATATCCTAGGGGCGGGCCAAAACTGGAAATCCGCCGCTGGAAATATGGGGTATTAGCCTTTAGTTAATGCAAAAAGCGTTTAGATTCTTAATTGCAATGTTTAATATATGTGTTTTTAAAAAATTTATAAATTCATCAAAGTAAAACAATATTATTCAATGATGATTCATGACTTCCACGTCAAGTGAAGAACGCCGTGTACGACGTCGATGAAGCAACACTGCAGACACGCATAGCAACAAGAGCAGAACCACAGAGACCCCGCTCATTGCAAACACGCCACCGCGAAAACGACTTTCACCTGGACACACATGATTAGCTACTAGAAAATAGAATAGAAAACAACTTAATCGCTTATTATTTATTTTATAAATTGAATCTTAGTATATTTGAAAATGACGACACGATAGAAAAGTCATAAAATATAGTAAAGTAAAATAAATGAAGAAACTGTTTCTTAAACAATTTTAGGTGTTTTAGGGAATCAAAACTGACAAGAAATACTCAAGAGAGATAAACTAAAAAATAAAACATTCAATAATAAAGACATTTGTTATAATCAAACAAATCTAAATAAAAAAAAAATCTAAACACTTAAAAGATATAATATATTCAAGAATGAAAACTTGACCCTGACCAACTCATATCAGGACAACAAAAGAGCATACAAATTTTAATAATATGCAAACACCATGATAAAAAATGAACAACAGTGCAGTCCAGCACGAATTACATAAAAGATGGTTTTGATACCGCAAACATTCGATGCGTTATAATATTTAAAGGATGGTATTTAGGTTTGGTATTGGGAATTTAAAACGACTGCGAAAAGAAGACTAAAAAATTTTACCTTTTTCCAACGTTATCTGTTCTGAATGCTCTTTAGTAATGAGAAGGTTTGACAGAGTTGGCAAATATTTTAACCAAAATGCAACATCTCGGGAAGAAGGCGATAATTTAATATTTTTGTTTGTTTCATCTCCGATATCTTGGACATAAGCATCTCCAATTTTATATCGTTGCCACTCGTTATTAACGCTAGGATATCTGAAATATATTGGTACATATACAGCGTGTCGTTACCATTGCGACAATAAATGAACACACGTCTAACGCTACTTGCCAATAATCATAAAAAAATATTAACGTTAAACAAAATCCATTATTAAAAAATAATATTTTTCAAACAAACTAATTAAGTAAAAAAGAAACAAAATTTGTAACATGCCTCTCCCTCTAACAGTATGTTTTGTCTCTTTTAAATTCATTCAACCCATTCATACGCTTTGTGACCTTTACAAATGAACTTTACGTTACAGTTTTATACGTAAAGGTGTTCTAAAATTCTGTGTTTTGTAAAATTTAATAACTCGGTAAATATTGATGTTTAAAGGATGTAAATGTTTAATACAATTTTAAAAAGTTATCTCCTATATGTGTGTTCATTTATTGTCGCGATTGTAAAGACACGCTGTATATATTTTATTAAAAAGCATTAAAAATTTATTTTTGTCTTTTTTCGTTAATAATATAGTAAGGTACCCATATTTTACAAAGTTGGCAATGTATTTTCGAAAAACAGCGGAAATTCGTTTTTCGCTGTCAGAAGCAGTTCTACGAGCTATCTGAAGCATCAAAGCATCTCCTAAGAGTGCTATTAAATCTGCACCGTGTGTTGCACCTAAAAATGTAAAAGATTTAAACATATCATTAGGAAATCAGACCATCTAAAATAATTAATTAATTAAAACATATTAAGAGTGACATACACGGAATATATAAAAGAGAAAAATCTAATTTAACAATATATTCCGTGGTGACCAATCTTCTGACATAATCCAGCATTTGTGAACATCAAAACGTAGAATAAGGTTGTTGTTAGGCAATTAAAGCATTTTTTATTATTTCATTACCTTTTCTTCAATTAACTTAATTTTAATAATTTGATTAGAGATCTTTTTTCATGAATATCAAAACCGCGTCATAAAATAGTATGAAGACAAGTAACTAGGTATTTAAATATTACTAAAATAATATAGTATATTTAATTTGCTGTTTTTTTCTTATTAATTGGTTACTGCTTGACTATATAACTTAATTGAAATTTTGGTAAATATACAGATTTGTACCAGAAAAGTTAAAATGACGCCCTTGCATATCGACTTCCGATGGTTGAACAAAACGATAAACATATAGTCGCGTTACGCGACGCGCTAGTCTTGCTGCTAATAAAGCACCACCCGCACCCCATTTCGCTGACGTTTCCATACGGGCAAGAGATTCAATGGTTTCCATTATTTCTTTTTCGTCGTCCTTTTTCAGAGCTGGCCCCCAAAACTCCCATCTTATTGCTTGTATTAACTAAAAACAAAAAAGAATGCTTTTATTATACAATTAATTATTGCGTGCCTATATCCATAGGAAGATTGCATGAATGGGGTGGCAAAACTAGATGGTATTTTTTGTAATCGCGACTTTGGCCTCTCACTCCAACGTTCTGATGAGTAGGCAACCATTTTCCATCGGCAAGAAAACTATCGCTAGCATGTTTGGTTAGTAACAGGCTCGCATCCACGGTTGTTCTATCGTTTCGTGGTCGTCACGTAAATATTTTTTTTATTTCTTTCATTTTTAATAACATTCTGTAAATGAAACGGAAATTTTTCATATGCCTTGGGCGACTAACGGATCAAATCCATCACTGTCTGGATTCAGAATTGAAATTGATTTGAATTGAATTCAGGAAATGAATTCAGAATCAATTTTGTTATAATTGTATAACTACCATTGGTAAAACATGTTGTCCGTGCAAAGAAAGCATGCGCATTATATCTGGTATTGCTTGCGTAGTTGTGTATTCTAAAACACGACTTGCTCCTTCTTTCATCAAATATTCATAAAGATTATCTGTAAAATCATAAAAATATTAAACAAACATAACACGGAGAGAATACCGTAAAATATAAAATTTAATTCAGGGCTTATTTCAAAATTATTTTATACGGCTTGGGAAGTTTTACAAACCATTGTAGTTAATAGCCTCGAGACTTGTGGTACCCATAAGCAAATCAAGTTGAATATTAGCCGTTTTTGATGAGGTAAGTGCTTCCGGAACTAACATTGGTAAATACTGATCGGAATCTGGTAAGAATTTATCGGAGACTGGTTGCAAACTTTTAAGCATAGTGTCATTCTGTAAGAAAGGTATTACTTATATAATTATGTGAAATTGCTGTTAATTCTGGCGATGTCATTTACCGCATTTACAATAATTAGAATAGTAAAGTAAGTAACAACGATTTATTAGTTACAGACAAGCTTATGCTGATTAGTTTGTTTTTCGACTGGGTGAAAAAAGTATGGGGCCTTGAAAGAAATCATGAAAATCATGGAACATAGACATTACCCTGCATCAGATATGGCTAAAACATGGGCTTTGATGAAACGTCATAGGGACAAACTAGAAAGACGTGAGAAAGGTAAAGGAAATGAGCATACTAGGTTTGAAACTAACGAACAAAGTTACAAGTATAAACATCAGTAGTAGTACAAAACAAAATTAACAGCCAGGTGGACTGGACATATGACCTGCTGCACAAAGAATAAATGGAGCAAACAAGTGACAGTTTGGTGCCCAAGAGATGGTGCTAGGAGCAGAGGTATAAGCAAATAGGCAAAGCAATAAGGTGGGAGGATGAAGTCAAGAAGACCTTAGGATCCCTTTGGATAAGAGTAACGGCAGAGATGATGAACTTGATGCGGTTTTTTACTAGATAGAGTGATTCAAGAGGACGGTTTATATGTATAGTACATAGCACCCGTGCGTAGCCGGGGCGGGTCGCTAGATATTATTAATATTATAATATGATAATATTGTATAAGTAATCCTAAACCTGATATAAAACAAAAATTGGATTGGTCCTCGTCAATATTTATATTATAAAACCTCTATTTTTATTGGCTATTGGATTCGAATTAGCTCCCATGTGGTTCCATATTAATTTCATATTAATACATCAGTGAACTTCTCAAATATAAAATAATCAGTAGAAAATTTATAGATTTAAAAAAAATTGCACAAATTGAAAAGTTGTCAAATTTTCAATTTGTGCAATGTGATAAACTGTATGTAATACTATTTTTTAATATATTTACCAGAGAAATTGTCATGATATCAGAAATAGTTCGGGATCGCATGCAGTTTAAAATGTCTTTATCTGTTTTGCTCGAACATTCCATGGTTTCAGCGATGACCCGAGATACTCGCTCTACTTCTGAAGCATTCGCACCTAGTTCTTTGTTTACAGCACGCCAAATCTCTCGTGGAGACATCACTATTGCTCTTTGAAACAAACCTGCCGAGAGGTAGAGAAATCATTATAAAAGTAAAGGAAATTATTATTTTTTATTGAATTAAGTATCTAAAAACAAAACCAAAATAAATTTATGTATTGTTATGAGATTAATTTCCCAAGCCCAGTATTTTAAAGGTCGGTAAACATTTAACATCAAGTCATTTATCACTCTCATCGTAGAAGATTGTACCTACCTTTCGTTAAAAAAGTCTAGGCAACTAATTTAGTGACAGGAATGGGTTGTAAATTTTAAAATTAAGCCAGTAAGTACAAAAATATCCATAATTAATTGATGGCGTAGTAATATAACCTGAAGAGCGCGGAGAAACTATATGATGTAAAACACAATCTGCCCCCGACGAATGTCCGACTAGAGTAATGGCGTTTGGATCACCACCGAAGGCTGCAATATTCTCTCGAATCCATAAGAACGACAGGTACTGATCTAAAAGAGCAAGGTTTCCTCGAGCCGCTACAGAGTTCAAAGTAAAAAATGAAAGCAAATGTAAACGGTAATTAACGGTGACTACAACGATGCCTTCAGATGCTAACTCTTGACAGGGCAATGTGACTCCACCTCTAAGCCACGTTTCGCTATATAATAAAATCATGACTGGATATAATTTTCCATCCACTCGCTACCTGAAAACAAAAATTATGGTAAAAGTGTGTATTTATATTAAAGCTGCCTAGATGAAACTACTTATCAGAAAACCTATGTTAATGTTAATCTAACCCTTGGCGCGAAGACGTTTAGAAAGAGACAATCTTCGCTGTAACTTTCGTTATCCATGCCTTGCTGGGGACATCGAGGTGGCATTCTATGCGCAAAAAACGTTCTTCGCCAACCTGAGTGGCGTTCTGGCGCCTGAAATAAATAAATATAATTTTAGTACTGAGATTACAATGTCCGTGATGGCAAATCTAGTGTTGGCAAAAAAATAAGGTAACTAGGTTCGAGTGTCCTTAGAATGTGCTTGTTTGCCAACCGCCTTAATATTTATACGATTTTCTCAGTTAAAAAATATACTCAAAACTTACTTAATGTTTAACTAAGTTCGCATTCTTTAGTGAAAAGCAAGATCTTACTTTCAAAAAAAAATATCTTTAACTAACATTACATTCGGTTTGTGTAAAAGAAAACATTTATCTTATATTTAAATACGAAATAGATTAACTGTGTTACATATTATTTGAGTAATAAAAACTGAGCAAAATATTAAAATCATTTTTGTCGCGGTTGTAACGACACGATATAGATAGACGATACCAATATCACATTATTATCTATGTTCAAAATTTTACTTACTAATGCTTATATATTATAGTTCATAAATTGGAAATATATTCATATGTTGAGAATTGTTCATTAACGATTACACGAGCAAACAGGTATATAATATAAAATTCACAAGAAACTCACAGCAAATCTAAACTTTCCAACGGGCGCGTTTGCATAAGGAATTCCATAGAAAATTTCGACCGGTATAAGGGATATTTCAGTATAAACCTTGATCTGCAAAAACATCAATTATATAGGCACAATATTAAACTAATGATCGATCGTATATTGTATATATTATGTGTATATTGTGATCAAAGTAAGTTAAATATTGTGAACACCAGACCCCAACAATGCGCCCTTGAGGTAAATTAGCCGTAGGATCTTGAGCTAAGACGTAAGGCGTTAATAGCAAAATACGCCACACATAACGAAAATGCATGATTACTTCTCTTAAAAAATAATTTATAGATAATATTCTCGATTAGAAGCGCTGACATGCGCTAAAAGGACTACTGTTCAACTGGCGGTACACTGGACACAATAAAGCATTACAATGATGGCGCTTTAGCCAATGACGAGTACCCGGTAATATGTATCTTTGTTCTAATTTGTGTATAGTCTAATGTACTGAAGTGAAAATGTATTCATAGAATACTGTCACAGGTCATGAGCATGAATGGAGCGAGGTCATGTGAAACCAACCATCATATCCTGTCAACAATGCGAGTTAGCACGCGAAATATTATCCAAATATCGAATGCTTGTAACAGTTGTCATTATAGCACTATGACTTCATAAATATAAAGTAAATTTTACTCAGTACGAAATCATTGTAAAATAATCTGAAATATAAAACAATTAGAAGCGAGTTAATGCAAGCGTTTTATAAGTAGTACGGCCAGGCAAGATTTTTCGCTGTTGCACTTACTCGTCTCGTACTTGCGTCTCACGCGTTTTTTTTTTAAATTAATGATAGGTATCCTACACCCTATGGATACAATTACCAAAGGATAAATGGAGATACCTAGATGGCAGTATGGCCAAAGTAACTCTGTTTGTCTGTCTCGCTTTCACGCCAAAACTACTGAACTGATTTTTAAAGAACAATGCCCATTATTGACCTGATTGTGTATAGAAGTGAAATAAATATTAAAATTTAGCTAATTTCATTTTATAGTAATTACACTAATCACAATGTTAAAAGAAGGTCGGGAAAAAAAATATTTTTTGATATTTCTTTACGCTTATTTTACTTCAAGGGTAAACATATTACCATGTTTTGAACGCACCTTAACAATCCTTTGCATAGGACGTTCCATTTTTCACACTACACATTTGACTGTATTCAACTTTTTCTGAGTTTTGTACGTGATATTATGCTTTAGAGAAGTGAGTAAGCACCTAATTAACAGTGTTTGTATAAAAATTAAGATCAATCTTTAGTAGATTAGTAGTACAGATTTATTAAAAATAAAATAATAAATTATTAATGCAGCATGTAATAAAGTTCGCACGGCTGACGTAAATGGATTTTTTTGACATTTGACAGTTCTGCGAGTGACTCATACTCATCGGTATTCGCCGGTAATTGTGAGTATTTATGTTTATTATTTTTAATCTAAAAATGTCAATCATGTCCTAATCAAACTAACAAAGCTCCTATAAATTATACCTGTGACATAACACAAACAACTGTGCAAAAGATCTATATATCCAAAATATGTATTATAAACTCAAAATATATTTTTTTATTTCAGATTACTGAGGAAGATTACATTTGTAAATTTTGTAATGAACTCTTTATGAGAAGAATAAACCAGGAATTAACAAGCTGTGATTGAAGCTTGTTCGACCTGGTTGAGATAATCCTGAAGCTTGTTCAAGCTTCAGGATTATCTCAACCAGGTCGAAGAACACAGTTTTTGATAATCCTTCAGAAAAGCAAAGACATCAATTCTATTATACAAACAAGTTCACAACATGACATACTCATGTTTCTACATTGTTAATCATTTGCCAGTATAAAACTTGATATTATTACTCTAGATTATTTCTCTTTTGTATTTTAGATGTAAATTATTATATCTGTTGATAAGTTATAATTGACTGATGCTGTAATAATTTTAACCACAAATAAATACATAATTGAGTTATTTAAAAATATTTTATTAAGATGAATAATAATTATTGCTTTATTACTTCTTTTGTAGATAGTTTTCTTTTGTAGATATCATCATCTGATAGAATATGCCATTCATGCTGGATGAGTTGTAAGAGTGCTGCCACACATATCAGGAATGTTGCTGAAGTTTTGTGGTGTTTCTACTACTGAAGATAATTTATTTTTTATGTTTCTTAGAGATTAAGTTATTAGTGAACTTATACTATTTGCATTAGGTACCAAATAAGGCAAGCCAAATCCTGTTATGGCGAACATATTCGCTTTCATGTATCACATAGAATAGAAATATGTAGGGACACCGGAGTTTTCTAGGAATAATCTGAGAGGAAGTGGTGACATAACACTAATAAGAGGAAAAATTAAGTCCTGGCACATTTAAAGAAAACAATATTATGTCTACATTTTAATAGAAAATAATTTGTCTGGCAGAGCTAGTATAGTCTTATACTGTTGTAATTGTTTAGTTGGTTGGCGAACCATAGGATGTTGCACTCATGTCATGACTAGTGTTGTGCTTCGGATGAACTATCAAGAAAATATCTGTTATAGCAGAATTTCTGGATAACATAGTTATGACATTTAAGTGAAGATGATGATAATTAATAAAGCATTCCACTGTAACATAGTGTTTTATTTTTTCCCCCGTTTTATTAATCAAGTATTATAATTATCGATTATTATGTATTGCAGTGCAGGCCAATGAAATGTGTGGGGCAGATAAATGATCACTTTTATCTTACGTTTTTTTAGTATAAGTACTTATGTGAGCTGTTGAAACAGCGGATAATGCTCTTCACTCAATTTATAGTGACAATAATCAAGTCTAAGCAGTGACGTAAGGGCAGTCGGTTTCTAGGAATTCACAAGTAAAAAAGACGTTTTAGACCTTAGACAGGCTAATATTATTATTTTAGAATAAACTTGAGCGTAAATAGCTTTTTAAAATAGCTTGATACTTCCAGCACATTTATTTCGTTATATTAGGTAACTGCAAATCCTAACCTAAAAAGTAACATTGTTTAATAATTTTTGGACTTCGTAGACCAGCAATCGTAAAACTGACTATATGATATTAATTTACTAACTTAAAGGTAGTCTTTCTGCTATACCTTGTAACTATACATACACTTTCATTATCAGGTTTTTAAATGTATGGGAAGTGGGCATTGTTCTTTGGTACACAGACAGTCTAGAGCCCGAGAAAGGACATAGGCTATTTTTAATTGGATTTTTTTAAAGAAAGATATTTATTTAAGCGCTTCAACGCGAGCGAAAAGCTCGTTTAACATATTTCTAAAAGTTATCACAAGGCAGACCGCAAATTATTTGTAAGCGAAGTTGGTAATACTGACAAATTGAACGGGGATTCCCCGACATTGCTATAGAATATCGTAACAAACAATTCACCAATATGTTTATGTTAATACGTGAAGCAAAAACTTTGTATCCCTTTTTGCAAAAATTGCGCGAATGGAGTATGAAATTTCCCACACATAGTTTATATAGAATACAGATATTTTTTTAATTATACAAAAGAATGCATTAAATCATTAAAAAAAAAACATGACACACTTCCATGTACAATTAATTTTATGCTCGAATTTCGACCCCTTATTTAAAATAAAGTTAAGTACCAACATGCAACAAATTGATTTTATTTTTTAAGTTTTAACCTTTACTCTTTATACGTACCGTGAAGTTGGTCGCTTTTGCAACTAACTTCATCATGTTGCTGGTAGTGTGCGCGCGCACCGTATAAATGTTACTCGTCAACTTTATCCAAACGTGTCAAAAGAAGTATAACTTCAAAAAAACCACAACTATACCTTCTAAAAGGGCACGTCTAGGTAGATTTAAAACAATTTGTAATTTATCTAAAGGTACCAAAATAATATTATTTAATGAAATAATATTTGAACTTCGTAATAAAGGTGTTGACTTGTGTAAGAGATTTTACTAAAATTTTGCCTCGATCTTGAACGCCTGGTGTTATCTTGACAAAGGTCTATTTAATAATCTATTAAACCTGCGACATAGTGGAGGCGAAATTGCATGTATGCCTGTTTTTGCAGCTCTGCCGCACGCTGGTGTGGTTCTAAACGTTGAACACTGTTTTTCATGTATTAAAACCGCTTTCCACCACGAAAATATTTAAATAAGGAAAAAAAGGTAGGTAAGGTAAACCGTAAACCTTAATCTATTACATACATGTCTTCCCTAAAACTTGTCTTAAGAATAGAACGATTTATGGAACTATTCACGTACGTATAAATCTGGACATTTGAGATGAGTATAAAAATAATCAGGCCAAGTGTATTTTATAAAAATGTAATAAACAATGAGTAATACAAAATATCAGAATCAAAGTAACAACAAATTTTATGAATTTTCACATAATAAACACGCCAAAACTCAAACTTTCACTGTGGTGTACGCAAAATCTAATTTTTTTAATAACATTTTGTAGTAATAATTGATAGGTTGATTATTTGCAAATCCGACGGTTGCTAATAATAATCCATAGCTAAATAGTATGGACATTAATTTGTGGCTAGCTAACCACTGCCTCAAACCACCTTCTGAAATACAAAAAACTATTAAAAATATATTAAAAAAATAATATTACTTTCATATAAGTTGCTATTTCATAATAAAACAGAGGCACAGAAGACACTGAGGTCTTTGTGGTAAGTTGCGATTTCATTTATGGTGACGTGTTACTCTAACCATACTAACCATTTCTATTAACGTTTGATGTACTAAATCTTATAGAAGTAGGCTGCTTTGCATACACTAACAAATAACGCACTCTGAGGAAGTCACTATTAGTTACTAAATAGTGGGTCGCTTTAGTGTCGAAAGTATTTTCCGAAGAAAGGTTACCGTCATCATTGTTTACGCCGTCACCTGTAACGAAGGATTTGTAGGGAAGCAATTGTAAATTTGGGATTATATCTTAACGTCTTAGCAACAAAGAATCTAAAGATTTTGTAACATATACGCTACATTTAGAACAAGCCAATCGTGTCCTGAGATAAAATTGGTGAATTACGTGAAAAATAAGCTTACGCATAACAGAAAGGTAGGTTAAGGTTCAGTATGGTTTGAAATTTATTAAAGTTTAATACGGTACGTTTACTACTTATTACTTTTATTAAGAATACTACCTAGAACTATCTAAAATTAAAATAAACTGTGCCAGATTTTCTGTTTTTCACTGATTTTAAAACAATATGACGTATATCCGCCCCTTACCTTCATCCGTGATAGGTTTGTTATAATTGATTCCATCAGGTGTATCAATAACCTCGCACATGGCTATACATGATAAATGGCCACCAATAGTACTTGCACCCCAACCAAATCCACCATGACTGTGCGGTATACTGATGTTTAAATCAGGTGACAGGTAAAACCCATTGCCCAATGGTGTATTCTGTAATAACACATTATTAGTAAACAAATATAAGCACAATAGTATCAAACGCATCAAAGTAATTTAAAATCACACCTTATACATCTGTTGTTGAAAACCAAAATGCAACATACTGTAAAAATTCTCTAACCGACTTCCGTGGTACGCATAGAAAGTTTTATAATTTCTTGCTAACTCTTTCCACTTCACCTCTGAATGAGAAGTCTTTGAACTACATACTTGGAAAATATACTGTGGTTTAGGCGCAGATGGAAAGTCTGATAGAACGGTGTTATGCTGTAACATTTGAAAATCTGTTGTAGTCTTGAGGAATTTACATATTATTGTATTTGTGTTTTTTTGCATACCAGTTCTGACGGTACTGTTTTGAGAGATGGTTCTTTTAATCTCACAAGTACGTAAAATAATAAATCTATTATGTCGCTTATGTGTGTTAAATTATCTAAATCATCTAGCTGTTGTAAAAATAAATCGAGTGCAGGCACATCAGTTATCACGTTCAACTGAAACAAAAATATATTGATATAAAAGTTTTTCATAAATCATAAATAAAGAACGATATTTTTAATATTTATTATTTACTAATTCATCCATATCCTTGACACCGTTTTTCATAAAAGCTGGTGGAAAAGGCCTGAGACAACTTTCGTATCTGAAACTGAACGCAGCGGCAACGAATAAACTCCATTTTAAATCTGCAGCTTTAAAATCTTTTTCTAAAACCAATCTGCGAATAAGGATACAAAATGAGGGCTAGTTCATAAACCATTATTTGATACAGTATCCGTGTCATATGCCTCGCCTTAAATGAACGGCTTTTTTTTCTAAAGTATCCAATTTTGCTTGATTAATATCTGACATCACATCTGATGCCGGTTTAAAATTATAGCTGGTGGTAGTATCTGATAATTCCTCTAAATCACCACTCATTTTTGATTTTTTGATTTACATAATTTTGAATAAACAAAAAAGGATGTGACATACTAATATCGTAGTTTAGCAGACTGTCAAAATTTGAATAAGAAAAAGAATGAACGACCAGAGCCACCAGTCTTTGAGTCAAAAAAACTTTATATAATTTACTAGCAATAAGATAACGTGGACTGATGAATTTATTGACCGATGTCTGCCGTGGCTCCCACTATCCCCGGTTGGTGCTTTTACTTGTTGCAGTGTAAAATATCGATAAAATGATGTTTCTTTTTATGTTTTAATATGAAATAACCTAAGAACTTCTTTCTCAATACTTCCTTTTCCAATAAATGTTGATCAACAATAAGAAAATACTTCGACCTATTTTCATTTGACGTCGTTCCGCGTGACGCGTTGCTAGAGCGGAATTGACCCACAAGAAACAATAATTACATCAATTCCTAAAATGTCTTATTTAAAATTTGAAATAATTGTAGAAAATAATTTTAACATTATTTCACCACTATAAGCTGTGAATTTTTTATGTATTTGTTTATGTAAAGTTAGGATTACTGATGTTTCAAATTTCCAAATTTTGCTCATCAGACGATATTTAATGTTTATTAATTTATTTATATTATATATCTTAGTTTAATGGGTTTCTTAGAACATCACAAATTCATTAAAATATATTTTGTTAGTTCTTTTTTTTTAAGTTTGATTGTTATGAGAAGCGAAAGATTTACCTTATTAGTCTTTTCTAATTTGTTATTGTATGAAAAATTTATTAACACCTTTATGTTACTATATATGTATGTATTGCGTGATTTTAATGAATTATTAGCAATATTTTTGTGACATACCCAATGGTTGCCATTCTATTTGTATAGCTAATACAAATTATTCTTAAGTTATATGTATTCATTTAATTTAACTAGTTATTATTTCATTATTAATTTTGCATGCAGTGAAATGTTAAAATTAAAAAAAAACTGTTTATTTCATTACCAAATAATTAAAAACGACAGAAAATGGCTCCACATTTTCTGTATACAAAAATCACAAACATAAAATTTATTACAACTAAAGATCATTTCTTTTATAGGGGCTGACCCATCAAAAGATATACAAAAGCGCCGTGCTGGCAGTGTTGGGTAAGATAACAGTAATTCTCTGCATTACCTTTGTGTAACTAAAGACACTTTATTAGTTTAATGATGTACAAAAAGTTTACTATTATTTGTGTTCTGTTTTCAATATTTAGTTAACAAACATATTTGATATATGTAAATTAAAGCTGTATTCAAATTCAAATTTTATATTAGGTTCACCATATTTTATGAAATAAAATTTGTCAATATATTTGAAAAAAATTTAATGAATTAACATAATCAAATTGGCTAGAACTAGTTTTAATATTTCATAACAAAGTATGGAAATTTCAGTATGTTTTTTGGTTTTTAGGAATTGATAAGGCAAAATTTAAAAGTAAGTCTTATCAATTTTTTGTAATTTCATGACTAAAATCTATATCAAATCTCTGCTCATAACAACTGCTCCAAAAATAGTCTTTTAGAGATTTATTCGTGAATATCTTGGTAAAAATACGTAAATAAATGTTACGATTTTATTTAATGTAATCAAAAATAAATTTACTTAAGCACCAAAATTAATGTTTATACATTTTACTGCATGCAAGTATAAATTGCATAAAGTATATGTCTATTTACACACATGAGCCTTACATCAGACAAAGTTGACATTGTAAATGTAGTGAAAGACATATTTTTATTGTTAGCTCCGATGAAGACGACGCAAGTGGTGGGAAATACACAAGGATGGAGGAGGATAATATTCAAGACAAAGAAAGGTTTGCAAGGTAAAAATTACATACATATATTCTTTTTTCCATCTTCAAAATGCCTATAATTATATTTTACTAATATTTACATCTCTTCCCGTAACATTGGTAAAAAAATATTGGTAAATTTGATAGTTTCCTCGCTTTTTGACATACAGTTGTTTTTTAATTAGGTATATGACAATAGTAAAATGTTCAGTGTAAATAAAGTTACATTGTAATACTGAAAATTTTGCATCCATCTATTTATAAAGAGAGACTTATTTGCATCAAACTTTCTTAAAATTATCTTCATACATATTTGTTTGTTTGTTGGGCCTAGTCTCCAATATAGTGGACTTTGGATGAAGACTTGATGTATAGAGTTCCAAAATAGTATTTTTAGAGTGAATCAAAATAGATAGAAGGTCAGCTGTTCTTTTTAAAGGGATTTTGTTGCTGATTTAATTACCAACTCTTTATTTATACAGTGTATTGATTTTATTTGTCAGAATTGAAGCCTAAGGTTTTTTGCATATGCTTATACTTTACCGTGGTATGTAACTGGATAGACTTGTCTGGGGAAGTACCGTGGATTCACAAGTATAAAACTTCCACTTCTGGAAGTTTTATACAACAAGTTCGATTCGTCGCACTTGTTATATAAGTATACTCGGTCTATACTATTTGTCACACCAATAGTAGCTGTCAAATATCCCATTAAAAATTTGTAAAACAAAGACCAATAAAATACAATAATACCTAAAAGGTTTTTGAAATGATGTTATGTACAAATACAAGGTAGATATGACACTGGAGCATAAAAACTGAGGTACTGAATCTCTTTCCGTAACATACGTTATATACCATCTATCACATTCAATTATATAGGTCATATAATGTAAAGCGGAACAATTTTTTAACACCGCGCAGTATGGATATGCTATATTTAATATAGTAGTAGTAGTAGAGTTTAAGTGTATGCCTTTAAAACTAACTTATGCTAAGTTATTTACAATCATTTGTCCACAAATATTTTTGCGCAACGAACTCTAAATGCGACGCACTAAAAATTTAAAATTGTTATGCTATTTGCTAAATAAGTTATCCTCTTAATGCTAAGTTTTGCAATATAAAATTATGTATTATAAAGGGTGTCTCAGTAAGAGTACACTTTTTCATTTTAAAATAAAATCCAGTTTTTTATGTCAGAGTTGTGATATTTTTATTGTATTGTAATGAAGACATGTTCCGATTAAGTATGGAATAAAATATCCGGCAAATGACCCCCACGGCTCCGATGACAGGCCATTACTCATTTCATGAAATTTTCCATGACTTTTGCACAGATCCAACACGTCATCGGTGAAATACAGCCACATCGGCTGTATCTCACCGATGACGCGTTGGATTTCCGATTTGAGCTCGGGAATTGTTTCGTTTTTATTCGTATAAACCCGAGATTTCATAAAACCGCAAAGAAAAAAAATCGCACGATCTTGGTGACCAGTAGACATCAGAATTTCGGTGCGATAATGTGTTCTGGAAATCGTTACTGCAATAAGTCGATTGTTTGATGCGCGGTGTGGCAGGTTGCGCCGTCCTGCTGAAACCACATGTTGTCCAGATTCATGCCGTCCAGTTGAGGCCACAAGAAGTCCGTTATCATATTCCTGTAACGAATGCCGTTCACAGTCACTGCAATTTCCGCCTCATTTTCAAAAAAGTAAGGTCCAATCACGCCGCCTGACCAAAATCCGCACCAGACAGTTACTCGTTGTGGGTGCATTTGTTTCTAATGGATTGCATGAGTCCCAACTTCGACAATTTTGTGTATTCACAAAGCCATATGGAAATGCGCTTCATCGGAGAAAATGACGTTTTTCGAAAAATTGCCATCGACTTCACTTTGCTCCATTACCCATTGAATAAATTGCCGGCGCTTTCCATGGTCGGTCTGCTGGTTTGAGCTCCTGATTTAACTGAATCTTTACGCATGAAGGTGGAGGTCTTTATTAAAAACTCGCTGCGTAGTGCTTCGTGAAATTTTAAATTGTTGAGAACGATGTCGAATTGATGTTTTCGGGTTTTCGGCGACACTCGTTTACAGCAGCAATGTTTTCAAGAGACAGGTACGTTGACGCAAAGGATTCTTATTATCCATAATTGAGCCAGTTTCTTCAAATTTTTTGACCACTTCGAATGGTTGACACATTAGGTGCACTTTCTCGGCTGAAAATTTGGCGAACTTTGCGAGCGGTTTCAGCTTAACTTTCCCCATTTTTGTAATGAGTTTTCACAATTATAACGCGTTGTTATTTCGAAAAGCGCTCTATTTTTAATAATCGAAATAAACAGAGGTGACAACAGTCAAATTTCAGAGGTGCCATTTGCATGGAAAAAAAAATATTCCAATTTTAAAAAGTGCACTCTTACTGAGACATCCGCTATAAAAGTTAAATAAGTGACATTCGCTGAGAATGGCGTTACATAAAATTGCCTAATAAATATACCGTCACAAAAAAGCACACGACATTATTTTTGCACAGCTATGCAGAATATCGACACAAAATGCATTTTAATAAATGACATAATTGTAAAAGAGTTGATGAAAACAATAAAACTTCTCACATGAAAATTCTCACACGCATTTAACTTTTCATAATGGTAGTTAATGAACTCTATAGTACTTAGCTATTATTACTATTAAACACACCGTCTATTGTAAGTCAGCGTGTGATGATTGAAAACGTGTCTTATCATGCTGTACGTGAATCTTTGATATTGCTAATTTATTAATGTTGTTTAAATTTAAGAACTTATTAAGATATGGTAATGTTATGGAAATTCTTAGGCTTGGTACTGTTACAGTATTTTATTTGACTTAACGTCGTCAAAGCTAATTGTCTTGGTGTCTTGCTAATTTTATTTGCAGCTTTATGACATTAGTATTTATGAAGACTTCTTAAATTCTGATACATTTTATAGTATTCCACTGTTATTTTAGTAGTTCCTTGGTGATGACTGTCATTATTGATATCCCATTTTAATAATGATTTCATTTTAATAATGATTTGACAAGGATAGCAAAATCATAATCTGTATCCATTTTATCAATGTTAAATTGCGTTAAATTTCTGCATTCGTTGTTGGTGATTATTATTGTCAAGCAATTGCATTATATTATATTGCGAAGAAGTAAGAACTTTAAAAAAATGCCCATTACATTCCAGTCGTGAGAATCATTGCGAGATCGAGCGTCGACGTAGGAACAAGATGACGGCATATATTACGGAGCTGTCGGATATGGTTCCAACATGTTCCGCTCTCGCCCGCAAGCCAGACAAACTAACCATACTGCGTATGGCAGTAGCACATATGAAAGCACTCAGAGGTATGGAAGAATTCTCGATTATTCAACGACTATTTCATGGTATGACATAATTGATATAAGACAAAATTCAATATTTCTTTAGGTACAGGGAATACCTCCACCGATGGCACATACAAGCCTTCTTTTTTAACGGATCAAGAATTGAAGCACCTTATTTTAGAAGCGGCAGATGGTTTTTTATTCGTAGTAAGTTGTGACACCGGTCGCATAATATATGTCAGTGACAGTATAGCACCGGTGCTAAACTATTCTCAGGTAAGTGGATCAATTGAAAATATCAATATGTCTGTTAGGGTTTTACCTGAACACGTTAAGTGATGGCTAACCATCCCGTTAGTCCTTAATAATCAATCGTACAAATCTGAAACATCTTTTTATGAATAAAAACTATGCATGATATCTTCTCACTACAGTACCAACGCCCCTAATTATTATTCAATAAAGTTTGTAATACATTTTTTTATTTTTTTTTTTGCCAGGGAGAATGGTATTCGTCATGTTTATATGATCAAGTACACCCTGACGATGTTGAAAAAGTTCGCGAACAATTAAGCACACAGGAACCACAAAATACTGGACGTATATTAGACTTAAAAACTGGGACCGTAAAAAAAGAGGGACATCAGTGTGAGTATAAGGAATAACAACTTTTATATATTTAGAAATTCCTATTTTGAAGTTTTCTTCCAATAGAACCTTAATTTCCAAAGGCGTATGCAATGTAGTAATGCACATAACAATGCAAATGCATTGCCCACTTTAAAATAGTGTACCCCGGCTTCCACACTTAACTTGCACTTCACACTATTCGGTACTTCCTCGGACGAGCCTGCTCATCCGTGCAACAGCCCCAGCTGCTGCGTGGCTACAAAAGTAGAACGCACTGCGGCTAGTGATTAAATCATGGTTCATTTTTCGCCGTTTGAGCCGTGATAGCTCATTGTCCGGGCGTTCGCTTTTAATTCTTTTCCCGGTACCGACACTAATGAAATTGTTAATTTTAAGCGTTAAATTATCACGTGCTCAACGGTGAACAAAACCATCGTAAATATTTTCGAAAAAAAAAAAAGATAGAACGATATGTGAAGTCCGCCAATCCGCATGGCGTCGCGCGCTGGTCTATGCTCTAATATAGGTACAGAGGAGGCCTTTACCCAGCAGTGGGACATTCGTAGGCTGTAAGGCTGTTAGTCTACTATTACTTTAATTTTGCTCCCCGCAGCGTCGATGCGCCAGGTGATGGGCTCGCGGCGCGGCTTCATCTGCCGGATGCGCGTGGGCGGAACGGGCGCGGGCGACGCGCACGTTGGCCGGCTGCGCGCGCGCAACTCGCTCGGCCCCTCCCACGACGGCCACAACTACGCGGTGGTGCACTGCACCGGCTACATCAAGAACTGGCCGCCCACAGGTAAAACGATCGCACGCGCACGCCCCTCCCTGGCGGTGCTGCCACTCGCCGAGCTCATAAATTTCCCGTAATCGCGTCCGCCTGAAATTTTGTTTTTAAACCTCGTTAAAAACACAATTTTATGTATTTTGGGACATCAGATCTGTTTCCAGGTATGCAGATGGATCGGCCGGTGGAGGACGAGCTGCACGCCTCGCATTGTTGCCTCGTCGCTATTGGACGGTTACAGGTACGTTAAATACTACTACTACAGTTAGTACAATGTTAGAATAGTTGATGCCCATACAAATAAAGCCTATGATTTTTCCCCAACTTCCCAACAAAAAAAATTAAATTGAAATCCCTGGACCGTTACTTTAATATTATTAAACTCGTATTGTCATCAGTCCTTGATAAATGTGTAAAATTTCATATGCGTTCGAAGATTCCGTTACAAATATTCATACTTACAAACATACAGGATAAGCTATAAAGAGCTTGGAATTATGGGATTAGTGTATGTAGTGCAAGTTGTCACGCGGTCCAGGTGACGTCGACGCCGACGAACGCGGAGGGGGCGGCGTGCGGGGGCGCTGAGTTCGTGTCCCGGCACGCGGCCGACGGGCGCTTCACGTTCGCGGACCAGCGCGCCGCGCAGGTGGTGGGCCACGCGCCCCAAGACCTCCTCGGCAAGCTCTGCTACGAGTTCTACCACCCGGAGGACCAGCAGCACATGCGCGACAACTTCGACCAAGGTTGGGGCCGTTTACCCTAATTACCGGTACTGTTTAGCCACATCTGTTACGAGAACAGACAACAGAGGATCCTTTTTTAATTTAAATCCCTTTCTAGCGCCTAAGGTATAGGAATATTCCTTTTTTTATGTGAAAAGTTGACCAACGAGCGGACGTTTCACTTGATGTTAAGTGAATACCGCCGCCCATGGAAATCTGCTACACCCGAGGGTTTGCAGATGCGTTGACAACGTTTTTGGAAATTAGGCTTCGACTACCTCACTCACCAGACGAAACGCGAAAGCATTATGCTTCCACTTTACGCTGGTCTTCTATGAGGTCGTGGTACTTACCGGGACGAGCCTGCCCATTCGTGCAACAGCCGAGGCTGCTGCGTGGCCCTACCACCGTAAAATTTGCCATTGATGTAATTGGAAAGATGGCAGACTACTCCATAAGCAATAACTTTCCTATTGTTATTTATTTCATTAATGATTATAGTAAAGTGCTAAGTAAAGACTTGAAAAAAAATTTCTTGAAATCTGACATGTGAAACCACACCTGTTAAACATCATATTTTTTTTTCGTACTAGTTTTCGTTTTCTTTTTAGTTCTGAAGCTCAAAGGACAAATAATCTCCTTAATGTACCGGTTTCGGACCAAAAGCAGAGAGTGGATCTGGCTGAGAACGTCCGCCTTCGCCTTCCTAAACCCTTACAACGACGAAGTAGAATACATTGTGTGCACCAACACACTGGCAAAGTAAGTAAATGATATAATGTATAAAATAAACACCTGTGTCTTGAGTATTGTTAAACAAACTAATTTTAAATTATCATAACTCTGTTTTCAAATGTTACTTTATGAATGTTTTGTCAATATTGTCTTATATTAATAAGCAAAATCATTGATACAAAATCTTTATTGGGCTCTGCGGGGCTGTGTAGATATATATCTATTACACATTGTGTTGTTGTTCTAGCCGGTCCCTAGGTAGTACAGCTGGGGAGTCGGTTGCCGAAGAGAGTTACGACTATCACCTTCGCCAACGCGATGTTTACCAGGCACCCGCACCTGCTATTCATCAGCAGCACCACGCTCCACCAGGTTATTATCTGCTAATCAAACATTATATGCTTAATGTGTGAATTATAAATTCATGTGTAATATGATACATTCCAAACATTGCATTAGATACTATTATTGACTAAGTATCTCAAATGGGATCCACATTGTAAATAATAATTTTAATGTTTATGAATGTGCCTGTGACATATGTAATTGTCGAGGATCAAGCAACATGGTGTGCAACTGTTTCTACCAACGTAGCCACCCGGCCGGTGGGAATGAGGCGAGAGTTGCAAGTATATAATGTTTACAGCAAGAAAAAATTTAATCAGTGAGAAGTGTGTGAATTGGATTATAGGTCCCATTGTCGTCGTAGCTCCGATTTTTATCGTTTCAATCCCAACGCGTTTCTTCCAGCGGGTAGCGGAGTGAGCGCACGGTCGCCCGGTGAGGCGGTGGGCGGCGCAGTAGGGGCAGTGGGTGCGGCGGGAGCACCGTACGCACACTACGCGCCCGATTATTCGCCCCATCGTCCCGCCAACACACCGCCGCACACAACGTGGACCACGCTGCGCCCCGTAAACACATTTACTTCTCCTGTTCAACGCGATAGAAAGTACCAAATACATCTGATTGGTTGACTTGGCAAACAATGTTTTATCTAAAACAAAAAACATAAATTTTAATAAAAATAGCTTAAATCACAAACTGGATCAAGCTGGGATTATTTGAACATTTTTAAGAGTAGTACTGCTGAATTTGTGACCTTTACATACATTCATTGTTGCTACTTTTAAGTAGTCATATAACTATTTTGTTAAACATAACAATCTCTAATAACATGTATTATTTTCCAAATGTATTTTTTTTGTATCATGTGTATTGCCAACTCTTAAGAAACTAGGTTTCGGCTGCCTCATTCAGCAGAGGAAACATAAAAGTATAGCGTTTTCTCTTCATGCTAGTCTGTGAGTACCGTGGTTCCCCAGAAGAGCCTGCCTATCCATGCCATAAGGCCACTCCCGACTGACCAGTATGTCAGGCACCCACTCTGTTACATTTCCAACCACAACCTATTGCATTCGTGAATTGCAAAAACAATACCAAAAACCGTTTCTCTGTAAATAATTTCTATATATCCATTCACTAGAGTGGCGGCGCTAGTGGTGAGAGCTATGCGTACAGCGGCGAAGCTGGTGGTGCTGCCGGTAGTGGCGCCCCGGGGCCAACGGGCAGCGGTAGCCCGGCACGCTCGCCGCCCGCTCCCGCTTACCTGCCGCCGGCAGCCCACTACCACCATCATAACCACCACGCGCACCCCACTCATCCGACACATCCCACCCACGGTAACCGCAGCATTTACGCATTTGCAGACTTAAAAATGAACCTCTAACAGAACAATATGTTCAGTGTATAAAAACAAACTATAAAGTTTATTTTTTTATGTAGTCATATTGTAAAAAAATATATAATTTATTCTTTAATAATAATAATAAGAAAGAATTGCACTACTTAATAGGTGAAAATTGATTTATAACAGAAAGTATATAATTTTAATCTTGTTATGTATTGCATTTGTTGGTAGAAGGTGATGGTGTGGTTGCAGGCATGTGGTCGTGGCAAGGTGGAGGTGCCGGCGTGGCAGGCGTGACAGGAGTAGCAGGGGCTCCCGGGGAAACTGCCCATGCCCCTCATGAGCTTTCCGATATGCTGCAAATTCTCGATCAAGGACAGGCAACTTTCGAAGATCTTAACATAAATATGTTCAACTCAAGCTTTGAATAGAACACATTTAATGTATGTCCAATGTACATTTTTAATGTATTTCTTTATATATTGTAATATGTTATAACACAGTTTTGTTACTTACCATCTTATTTTTACAAAAAGATTTTATTGTTTAACTATTTATAAGTAAATCATTTTTTTTTAAAACCCGTTAATTATTATTCTCTTCTTTTTAGGTATGATCTTGGCAGCTAACATATAAAGAAGCCTAGCAAGGTTTGTTAGGCAGGCACAATTTGTCTTAAACCATATTGTCCATTATGATTGGAGAAATTGGATTCCTGCATATGGTTGATAATTTTAATTGTTTTTGCATCTTCTGGATACGTTATCAAAAACATTCCACCACAAAAATAAGTAAAAAGGTGCAGTGTATAGGTTTACATTGTAATTTTAATCTGTATTATTAAAACATCCTAGAATTAGGACATGATTTTTGACAGTCAGTTGTTTTAAATCTTATTAGTTTCCAATTTTCAATTTTATTTTGACATAGTAATATTTTTTATGTAAGTAATGCAATGCATTTATGAATATTTCTTCATAATGAAATTTTTATTATTTGTATCCAATCAAAATTAGGTATATCTCAATTTTGTAAAAGATTTTTCATTAAATATAAGCAACATGATCTTTATTATATTTTTATTTGTTCTTTTCCTTTTCCCGTTTTACGGACAAAACGGGGTAATTAGAAAAAAATCGGGCAGTTTGAAAAAGCTGTCTCTAAGTTTGTGGCCGACTTATGTTTTTAAATTCTATTAAAATATATGATACGAGTCCAGTTTGCGATATTTAACGTCAAAAAATGTGCCTAAATTACTTGATGCTAAAGTGGAGCGACAAAAACTCGATTCTTTAGATGAGACACCTAGAAACTTTTTCATCAATATCTGTTATCTAATATAAAGATTGAAACATGCCTGAAAAAACGGAAACTGCCACCGGCAGTCTTTCCGAACTGTTACGACATGGGAACCTTCAAGAAGAGAATATAATCTTTCCTAAAGGGCCGGCAACGCATTTGTAAGCGCTCTGGTGTTGCATGTGTCCATGGGCGGCGGTGATCACTTACCATGAAATGAGCCTCCCGCTCGTTTGCCGCTTTTTTCCCCATAAAAAAATGCTTTTTAAAATCTGCGCAAACGGAACATCATTATTTTTATGAACTTCCAGTAAAAGACAGCGTTCATTCAGCAAAGACAGAATTCATTGCCTCCGTCCCAATTGCAATTTAGGTTAGGCTTTTACTATGGAGACAAGGTTTTAAGTAAGAATACATATAATCTATATCTAGACTTCTGGGAGATATGAACAATAAAAGGAAATGTATTATTGTGTATTTTTGTAATTATAAATTAATTAAATAATTTAGGCTATTACAAATTTGAAAATTTGTTATTTCATGACATAAAGCCAGGACTATTCCGGCTTTGATTTCAATATGCCCGAGATGATTCTGACTAAAGATAAAGCTCGAGTATGAATATATACACAAAGATAACTATGAAGAGTACGCTCGTGCTTGGTCTAATTCTAGATGACGTCATTTGCAGATATGGTAAAAGGAACAAAAATGCAAACCATTATTGTGGTCCTCATTGGAATAGAAACAGTTAGTGTCTATCTTGCCTTTAATGATTGTTATATTCGAAGTTCAGCAATGTATTGTGTTATTATTTTGTTTTTGTAACGTGAAGGTATGGCAAATAAACATTAGTTCACGTGCTAAAAGAATAGTTATTGTTAAGTATCAGCCTATATACGTCCCAGTGCTGGGCAAAGGCCTCCTCTGTATAGAGGCTATCGGGGTATAGGCCACCACGCGGCCCCAGGCCCACTGCGGATTGGCGGACTTCATCATTTCTTTTTTATCTTCGAATTTATTTTTTGTTATTTATAAGAAAATATTTTACAACTGAACGAACATTTAATGATGAATAAAAATTATTGTTATTTATAAGAAAATATTTTACAACTGAATCAACATGTAATGATGAATAAATAGACTGTATGGAGTGAGTCCCAAGTCGGAGAACAACAATAAAAAATAACAACAAAGGACATGTCAAATTGTCAATTGATCAATCAATCAATTCACAATTGTCTGTTTGACAATTAGACAATTACAAAACTTTGGGATTCGAATTGACGTCTTCTTGCTCCTCATTCGCTCTCATTTTAATTTGTTTTTATTGAATTACATCTTAATTTTCATGGTGTATTAGTGATCATCGTAGAAAATTGAGTAGATTTTTGTTATTAATAACATAAAGTATAAATTTTACGAAAATAATTAAAATTTTTAAATGTAGATTTGTGACGCCAATTTGACATCTCATTTTTTCATAATTTTAGTGTAGCTGGAATTCTGCGTTACCAATTGTAAGTATTTAAAACATTTAATTAGTTCTAATATCTATATAATGGATACTGAACCGCCTGACCCTGGAGGTGGCAACAATATTTTTTCTTCGGATACATCGGATCCTTCAACAAAATCAATATCATTGTCAAGAAAACGTACCCAGGAGGATTCGTCTTATGTACAGTCCTCTAAAAAGATCATTACTGACCCATCCCAATCCACTCCGTCTATCCAATTGTCTTATGTCCATCCTGATTTCATTTCAACAAAGACTAAATACTCTAATGAGGACCCTGGTCCTTTCATTGTTCTCATCAATACAACTGTTAATGACCATTCTGCTGGCACCTCATTGAAACCCATACAGTTTGGCCAATTTCTATTTCGTAACAAAATTCAAAACATTCTTAATAATGGTGTTAAAAAAGTCGGAAGAAACAGAATTTCTGTTCAATTCAAATCAGCCCGAGATGCTAATACTTTTTGTGAACATCCCTCTCTCTCCCTAGCTAACTATGAAACTATAATCCCTTCATACAATATTACTCGGATGGGTATTATAAGAGAGATTCCAGTGGATTGGAGTATGGAAGATCTAGTGAATGTTTTAGAGGTTCCCTCTGATTTTGGCACTGTTATTAAGGCTCGTAGATTGAATAGAAGGATTACTATAGATAATAAAAATTCTTGGGTCCCTTCACAAACTGTGGTTCTTACATTTAGAGGACAAAAACTGCCCTCACATGTATATTGCTTCTATAATTCTATTCCTGTTGAAACATATATTTTACCATCTATCCAATGCTACAAGTGCTGTAGATTTGGCCATGTCACGTCACAGTGTAGATCCAACCCCCAATGCTTCAAATGTGCGCAAAATCACGAAGGTGTTACATGTTCCAAAGAAAACCTTTCATGCCTTTTTTGTCTTGGTCCTCATTCCGCTAAAAATACTTCCTGTCCTGAACATCTTAGGCAGAAATCGATAAAAATGGTTATGTCGCAAGATAACATCTCTTATTTAGAAGCTTCGGCTAGATTCCCTCAAGTGAGGAGATCTTTTGCTGATGCTGCCAGACTAACTTCATCTGTCATTATAGAAAAGGAACCCACATCTTCGAATAATATCCAGAGTTCTTATAAAAAAACAGTTTCCATTCCCCGAAGTCCTCATTCCCAACCCAATAAATTTGGATTTGACAAACATGCCCATAATTCTATTATAGGAACTCCTTCATCAGTTCTTCCAGATGGGTGTGCTCTTAGAGAAAAAAAAGATATTTCTTCAAATGACAATCTTTTGGACTTCTACACTTATAAATATAATCTCCCGTTATAATGATACTGAGCTTCCAATTAATTTAAAATCTAAACTTACTGAGCTTCTCTCCTTATCGGTTAACATTCCCAACCCTCCTTCAATGGAACTGTAGGAGTATTAAGCATAAAAAAAATGAACTTTTGTTTTTAATCCACCAGTACAATCCAGCCATTTTTACTGTCCAGGAGATGTGGCTACAACCTGGGGCACATTTTAGAGTCCCAGGATACTCATGTCTCCGTGAAGACAGAATTGATGGTCATGGAGGTGCTGCAATTTTAGTCTCCAGAAAATTTACATTTAGTCAAATTCTTCTTCCACCCCATAACAAATCTATTAATATTGTTGCAATTAGAGCATTTAATACTACTATTTTATCTATATACATTCCTGTTCCAAGTTTGTCAATACTCACTGAGCTTTACTCTATTATTTCTTCTCTTTCTCCTCCGCTTGTTATTCTTGGAGATTTTAATATTCATCATACATCATGGGGTTCTCACTTTTGTGATTATTTATCTTCTTCATTCTTAGACATATTAGACAATTGCAATCTTTGTGTGTTGAATGATGGTTCACCAACACGTCGTGTTTCACCATCTCAAAATCTAAAAAGTGCTGTGGACCTGTCATTGTGTTCTTCAGAACTTGCCTCAATTCTCTGTTGGAGTATTTTGTCTTCTACTCATGGTAGTGATCACTATCCTATACTTATTTCAGACCCCAATTCCTTGGAATCTATTTCAAATTATTGTCCCAGACTAAAATATAATCTTGGTAAAGGTGACTGGTCTAAATATGCTTCTTTTACAGATAAATTCATAAATTCTGTTCAAGTCCTGAGAGTTTTTTATCTTCTTATTCTGATTTTAAAAATATGCTCATATCTTCAGCAGATAAAACATTCCCCCTTAAAAAACAATATAAAACTCCAATTCAATCCCCTCCTTGGTGGGATCAAGAATGCTACAATGCCTGCAGAAAAAGAAAGGAAGCTGAAAGAATTTATGCTAAATCCATGACTCTTCAAAACTTTATGGCATATCAAAATGAAGCAGCAAAAACTGTTAAAGTTTTGTCATCCAAAAAGAGGGCAGGTTGGCACAAGTTCTGTGAATCTCTGTCCCCTGCCACACCCTCTTCTCTAGTCTGGAGAAATATTAAAAGATTCCGTTGTGGTGTATCACATAATTTCAATATATCCTCAAATAATACTGCACCGTGGATTGAATTATTTGCTCAAAATTTAGCCCCTCCTATTGCTCCATCTTTTCAGGAATCAATGATTTATTATAATTCCCCTTTAACATCTGCAGAATTTTTTGACAGACCTTTTTCTCTAGAAGAACTTTCAATTGTTTTAGGATCCCTTAAAGGTTCTTCGCCTGGAATTGATGGTATTCCCTATTCTTTTATATCTAAAAGTGGACCAAATACTAAAATATTTTTTCTTAATCTTTTAAACCACATCCTGCCTTCCGGTGTTCCCCCAGATGAATGGAAAAAGCAAATTATCATTCCAGTTCTCAAACCTGGGAAACCCAATAATGATCCACATAGTTATAGGCCAATTGCTCTATCCTGCACTATGGCTAAAATTCTTGAGCACTTAATAAAGAATCGTCTAGAATGGATTATAGAAAGCAAAAAAATACTACCTAAAAGTCAATTTGGTTTTAGAAAGGGTATTGGTACTATTGATAGTTTAAGCACTTTGATTACTGATATCCATATAGCCTTTTCAAAAAGAGAATATCTTGTAGGGGTGTTTCTTGGTGTTTCATCTGCCTACGACAATGTTCTTCTTCCTTTACTTAGACATAAATTGCTCAACCTAGGAATTCCTTTGAAATTAGTAAACTTTATTTTTAATCTCCTCTCGGGTAGATGTATCCTTTTAAATAGCCAAAATACTTTTCTTCCTCCTCGATCTGTCTGGAAGGGTCTTCCCCAAGGGTCTGTTCTAAGTCCCTTGCTGTATAATATATACACATATGATCTTGCCCTTTCAGTAAACTGCTTCTGTAATATCCTACAATATGCTGATGATTTGGCTCTCTATGTCTCTGTAGATGATATTTCCATTGCTCAGTCTCGACTCAATACCTCGCTCTACTATCTGCAAAATTGGCTGAATGATAACGGGTTATCTATATCAATTCCCAAAAGTACTATTGTTATTTATTCTCAACATAGAATTATTCCTTCGGTTAATATAACTCTTGATAATCAAAGAATCCCAGTGAAAAGTGAAGCAAAATTTTTGGGTTTGATACTTGATTCTAAATTGTCTGGAATTAGTCATTTACAGTATGTCACCAAAAAATGTGAAAAGAATATTAATATCCTTAGATCTCTCTCAGGAGTTTGGTGGGGTTCCCATCCATATTCCCAAAAATTAGTATACAGTGCTCTCATTAGAAGTCATATGGATTATGCCTCCTTTCTCTTAGAACCTTGCAATAAAGCAGCTCTCAATTCATTAGATAAAATCTAAACAAAATGTCTCAGAATAATTGTTGGAGCTATGAAGTCATCCCCTAGGAATGCTCTTCAAGTGGAATGTGTGGATTCACCCCTGCATTTAAGAAGGCAATATTTGTCAGACAGGTTCATGTACAAGGCATTGCAAAATTATAATCACCCTCTCATTGCCAAACTCCATTTACTTTCTGAATATATATCAACAGGAGGCTATTGGACTAAAAAAAATTCTCCTTGTCTATTTAATAGTTTTCTCAATTTTCTGCAATTACCCTGTCCTATATACCAATGCAAAATGAATCCTTTATATGATACCCCTTATGAAGCGCTGGTATATCAACCTAGTGTTTTACTTGATATTGGAATTGAGAAAAATTCTAGATTGGCTCCATTACAGTTGAAACTAGCTCTTGATAAGTTTTGGAAAGATTGGCATATAATGTACACAGATGCTTCCAAAATGTCTCAGTTGGGGTGTGTTGGAGCTGCAGTATGGTTTTCCAAGTATAAAATAATACTTAATTTTAAATGCCCGCCCTATAGCTCAGTTTTTACTGGTGAGGCTACAGCTATACTTGAGGCTATCCTATTTGCAGAATCTCATGACTTAAATAAAACTATCATTTTCACAGATTCTAAAAGCTTTTTGCAAGCCATTTTAGCTAATCTCTTCCATTACAAACTTAATTTCCCCTTAATTTACAAGATTAGAGCCGCTCTTTACAGGTGTCATATGAAAGGAATATTGATTTCTCTAGCTTGGATTCCTGGGCACAGTGATATTCAAGGAAATGAAATTGCTGACCATTGTGCCAAGGAAGCAATTAAAACTGGCTCCCTATCCCAATATACTTGTTTCTCTCATGATTTATTATCATATGCTAAAATCAGATCAAACTGTGTTTGGTATGAGCTCTGGAAGAAATCTAGTAGAGAGAGAGGGAAACACTATGCATCAATCCAACCTGATATTCCAACCAAACCATGGTTCTTTAATTTTCCTAAAGCCAATAAGCATGCCACCTCTATTGTCTGCAGACTTAGACTAGGGCATGTCTGCACTAATGTTCATCTTGCCAAATTAAGAATAAAAGATAGTTCCATCTGTGAATGTGGCCTAGATGATGATTCACCTGATCATATATTTTTCAACTGTCGCAGAATTCTAGGTTCCTTCCATGATCATCTTCCTTCTAGCATCCCTCGTCCATCTAATATCAATAACCTTTTAACATACGTTAATTCTTCATTTGTTTATATCTTATGTAATTTTATTAATAGTTGTAATATTAAGTTGTGAACTTAGCATAATAATTACAATCTTATTTTCTTTGTTCTAGGTAATTGCTATAATTATGTAAATTTGTTTAGATATTCTATATATAAAAATATACATATTTAACATTCATAAAATCATTCTCTTCATCATTTCATTATAAAAGTTAGGCAAAAATAAACAACCAGAAGTGTTCATTGGCGTATTCATTGAAAACCGCCAAAAAAGAAAAGAAGAAGAAGAAGAAGTACAAAACTTTGCAAAAATCGATTTGTCCAATAGAACACAAAAATTACAAAATTTTCATATAAATTAATAAATCCAAGATCTTTTCCACATTCATCTTGATATGGTTTTTGTAGCACTATGTTAAGTAATATTATAAAATAAGTATATAATGTTTTAAAAACATTTCAATTTTTAATATAAAATAATCATTAAACAGTGCATAAAGTTTACTATGGCAAAATCTGCGCAAGAATTTATTCAAAATTCCTTTTCACCAATTATAGCTGTTTTGTGCAGCCCACGAATCAATACTCTTGTTTCAAAAAACAATCTAACATTCTCTGAACTACTTCAACCCTTTGCATCATTGGACTGGGAAGGTATGCCAAAATTTAAATAACTTGATAAAAAAATCAATGTGAATGTTTGCATTAATATTAACAAAGATAGCAAATTAACAAGATTAACAAAGATTTATTTCAATAAAAAAATGGTATAAAGTGAAAAGAAAGCTCAAATACTTAATTTTTAGACATATTTTTAGTGAATAATTAAATGAATTATTACTTTTTAGGTCAATTTCGTGAACCTGGAGGAAATGTTTGTACAATTAAAAATTGGAAATTAATTATAAGAGATGTCAATTGGAAACCTCTTCAACCTACTGAAGCTAGAAGGCAATTAAACAATGCAGTTTTACACAATTATGATGATAAAACAATTTCTTTAGAGTTAGGTAGGAACAATAATTTTCATTAGTAAACTAATCTCACCTACAATCCTCACTGAAAATTTTATGAAAATATAATTCATTTTTCCAAATTATTTATCCACTTATGCAGTCTTTTTTTGTATTTCTGAGAAAAAATTATTATAATTACATACTTAAATATAAAATATTTTAGTACCATAATCAAGGTTAGTCAAATAATATGTTCTTATATATGTATATATATATATTTTTTTATTAAAACATTGCCCTCACTTTAGGGTAACATTATCCTGTGTTGTAAGGACGTTTTACAAACATAAATTGCACGAGGACAAACACCCACATGCGAAACAACCATCTGTGGGTCGCACAAATTGTTGCCCCATGTGAGATTCGAACCCACGACCCCCGACGCCGAAGCCAATACCTTGGCAACTGCACCATGGAGTCATCGAATTTTTAAAAGTTTTTAAATTTTTGAAAGTTTTTTGAACTATTGTTTATTTATGGGTTGTAATAAGCAATGCTTTGGAACGAGGATTTATTTTTTATCACATAATACAAAATAAATACTCATGATAGCTCAATGTCCAGGCACTCACTTTTAATTCAAAATACGCACGCTACCGGAGCTCGATCCCTTGTGTTGGCACCTAAAAAATTATAAAATTTAATAGCTGACTTATCATGTGCTCAGCAGTGAAGGAAAACATTGTGAGGAAACCTGTAAATTTTTCAAATAACTAAATTAATATGTCAAAATTTATGTGAAGTCCGCCCAGCTGCAGTGGGATTGTGTGGTGGGCTATGCCCTAATACCCTCTGCGCAGAGGAAGCCTTTGCCCAGCATTGATACATATATGGCCTGTTACTTTACTTAATACTTTACATTATATTAAGCTATATTTAACTTGTAATACCTACATTTAATATTAAATAAATTTGATGTTCACAGATGGACATAAGTTTGATGTTCCTCAATTAACTCCTTGGTTTGATGCCTGGAGAGAAACGTATCTGGAGGTGCAATTTCCATCTGATCATGAATTTACTAAACATTTCTTGTCTTGTATAATTGTTGCGACAACATTAGATGAAGATATTGTTGATACATATAATGTATTAAATCAGCAATATGCGCAATTACAAAATGTAGCTCCTCCAAAATTACCAAAATGGTTCAATAATGGTGTTCTAAAGTCATATCTGCTTGTGCATGATGTAACATCTGTACCTAAAGAGAAGTATGTTCAATTCCAAACAAATCTTTAAAATTTTAGCATAGCTAAATTTGTAAGATTTTAATGTATGCCCATCATGTTTCAGAGCTGATGCAACATTTGAAAAAATGAAACAATCGTTTGGTGTGGGGAATTGTTTCATGTTATCTATAAACTCAAAAAGTTCAACGGATCCAAAGCTTGTTACAGACTTTTGGGCTTCATATGTAACAAGAACATCGGAATCTTATGTAATTACACAACTAGCATCTTTTTTATAAAAAATTATAAAAATTATATGTTTAGTGTGCATGTGTTATAATATCTGTGATTTAAAATTTACAGAATGAGATGTCATCACCAATGAATGCAACAACATTTGAACCTCAAATTTCACCTGCTCCTAATGCAATGACACCCGGTAAGATAATAAAAAAAATTACTAGATCTTGTTTGAGAAATTGTCCCTAAAACTTTATTTTTTTCTTATTTATAGTAATGGAACTGAAATTGGTATGAATAATGGTGATTGATTTTATTCATTTTAATTTACAAAGATAAACAATGTTTTTCTGTAAATGTAACAGAAAAGAGTAACCTAGATGAAACGGAAAGTTTTTTTTTGCTTTTTTTATTCTTTTCTTATCCAAAGAATGTAACAAAACTAATTGTTTCCATTACATACAAATATAAGTACAGGTAAAAAGAAAAATTGTTGTTATAGAAGACAGACCTAATATAACAATTACTACGACTCAAGAAGGTGTGCATCCATTGACAGCATCTGAAAATGATGTTTATGATAATGCAAATAGTTTGCAGGTAATAAAATACTTTTAATCCTATGTGTGTTTAAACAATATATATTTCTATTTATTTAATAATTTTTCAGACTCATTCCTTTTCTGGCAGTTCCGAGAGTGTTAATGTGACTGGAAAAAGTTTAGATTATTCCAATGAAGTCCATGGTGCAGCATTGAATGCAAATGATGTTGAAGCAATTAAAAAATTTATGCAAGAGTATGCATCAAAAGCATTGCTTCCTTACTTAGAAAAACAAATTGCTCAACTTTCAGATGTGGTATGTTAAAATTACTATTTATGAACAAAATAAAGGATTTTTATGATTTTTGGCAATAAAAAAGCTATACTGTATGTTGTAATAGTCTTTTAGATTACCTCTATGAGGTAATACAGATATACCCCAAATTATAAGTAACCATAGTAATACCATATTAATAATTATTGTATAAACTATATAAGTATTTATAAACTTTATCAATAATTATCTTTATTTAAGTACTAAACTAGGAAAAAATGTTGTTAGTTGGTATTTGTCGAAATTATTAATAGTAAACTTGGACAAAGTACATTATAATGTACAGCATCTAAAATTTTTGGATTACTGGTTTGATCCTAGTACCATTGACACCATAGTCCACCATTAGACTTTCTGTATCAGGTCAGGTCTTAATGAGCTTTGTGTTACAATAATATCTATTGCTGATAATGCTTAAAATCTAAAATAAGGGATATTATTGTCTTGATTATAATTTATAAACCATCTTCCTGGATTTAAAAAAAAAATTATACATTATTTTCACTTTATTTTTAACAGGTTGCCAATAGAAAAGGCGTAAGCAGATCCTTACTTTCAGCAACAAAAAGGTGGTTTGCTGCTGGCAAGGGTGGAAATACAACTGGAAATAATGTTGTGATGTAAGTTTATTTTTGTTTCTAAAAACAATTGTCACAGCTCTGTTCTACCCAATCATGTTGATTAATATTTTTTTTAGCTAGTAGTTAGTTTATCTGTGGTAGGGCCACGTAGCAGCCTCGGCTATTGCACTAATGGGAAGGCTCGTCCGGGTAAGTACCACAACCTAACAGAAGACCAGCTAAAGTGGAAGTATAATACTTTCGCGTTTCGTCTGGTGAGTGAGGTAGCTGGAGCCCAATTTTCAAAAGGTTGTCAACGCATCTGCAACCCTCGGGTATAGCAGATGTCAATCGGTGGCGTTATCACTTAACATCAGGTGAACCGCCTGCTTGTTTGGCTACTTTTCATATAAAAAAAAAGATGCCTATACCCCAAAAAGTTATAATTTAAAATATGGTTTAAGACCTTATAAACGAATTGAATAGAAACCTTATTGAAAATGTTATTAAAGAATGCTGGACTTATCACTTTTATGAACTTGATCTGCATGAGTTATTGATGAAATTCAATTAAATAATTAAATAAACAAAATTTTTTTTAGTTATTCAAGTGACTGCCCAGAACTACAACTGCGACGTCTAGGTGACCTCTGGTTTTTATGTGGACAATGGCAAAGAGCTTTTGACACATACCATACTGCAAAGCGGGAGTTCTATGCAGACAGTGCATGGCTGTGCTATGCCGGGGCTCTCGAGATGGCTGCAATCAGCGCCTTTATGGCAGGCGAATCAAATCGAAAAACGCATGGCTACATGGAGGAAAGTATTGTGACTTATCTCAATACATGCAGGTAAGAATTAATAACTAAATGTCTAACATTGATAACCTTGTGCCATGATGTCATAGAAAATGTGATATAATTTTTGAAAAAACTTAAAATTGTAAGTTTAAAAAACAAACAAACATATTTTTATCAGTTGGGGCTTTTTAATGTAAGTTTAATTTATGGTTACAAATTTTTTTGACTGCCGCCCATAGAAACTCCAACAGCTGCAACCCATTCTCTGGTTAAGTCACTTAGCAGATTTATGCGAATAGAAATTGTATAAACACTTTTACTTATGTATCCATAACGTTTCTTATAATTTTATAGGGTGCAAATATTTTATTTAAGGAAGCTGTATAGTATCATTGTGATATGTATATTCAAAATAGATGTATTTCTTATATTTCAGAATGGTGCAATACGCTGTCAGAGCCACCTTACTTTCGGCCCTGTGCTTAATCAACTCGGGTCTCCACGGGGAAGCCGCTAAGCAGCTTATCCGTATGACTTCTGAAGACAGCGATTTGCGCAGCGCGATGCTGTTGGAACAGGCCGCTCTTTGCTTCTTGTCAGGGCCTGGCACCAGAGCCATGTGTAGGAAGTACGCGTTTCACATGGTGCTCGCCGGACATCGCTTCTCTAAAGCGGGACAGAAGAAACATGCTTATCGATGCTACCACCAAGCTTATCAGGTAAACACCTTTTCTTCTCTTGATGGTACTAATAACACACACACACACACACACACACACACACACACACACACACACACACACACACACACACACACACACACACACACACACACACACAGACACACAAATAATTAATTAAATGGACTGTATGCGTTGTTGAATCTAACGTCACGGCTCTTATGGCATTTAACTTATTGTTTAAAATATGTAACATTAAAAAAACTACGCTACAGAAATTTACTAAGATATACTAAATGAGGACAGTCCGACGACACAGTTCTTGCTGTGGCTAATTAATACACAATATTCATTTAACGTTCGGAATTTGAAACGCATTAAAGTTTGCAAACCAGTTTTAATTTGCAATGTTTTTTTTCTAAAGACTGCACACGAGCAAGCATTGCACCTTGTGACAACCATGGTCACCCACAACATCTAAGTTGTGTTCGATATGTGCTGCATGCGGTTAAGAAAACGGGTCTCCAGTAATCTCACTTAATGGATTAGGAGCAAACGCATAATTATGCCTAACTTGATGGCGTGATCTTCGCCCTGCATTGCTCTTTTCGTGCAGCAAGAACTGATTAAATAAAGTCTTCAACCTCTCACTCGAATTTCGTCATTCAGCCGTGTAATTTCCTTTCTAAATCCGAGCATATTATTTTTCTCCAAAGCTCTTGGAGAAAAATAAACTGGTTGGACGCAGTATAGTGCACACACAGTCGGTATTACGTGCCGATCCAAATTTCATACAACTGATCGCGCTCAGTTCGCGGGGCCAACTCCTGTATCAGTCTTATGCGTTCAGGTGTACACGGGAAGTGGCTGGCGGCTGGCGACCGACCACGTGCAGTTCGCTCTGGGCCGGCTGGCGGGGGCGCTGCGGAGGCCGAACGCCCCTCAGTGGCTGGCCGCGCCACTAGCGCCCCCCTCGCCCCAGCCGCCGCACCAGCAGGCCGCGTTCCTCCGCGAGTACATGCTGGCGCATCAGGTATTGCGGACATGCCAGTCGTTCAAGCGATCATTCACCAATTCACCTTGATGGCCCGATTGGCCTAGTGGCTAGTGAAGCCTGTTGCCCCAGAAGGTGTGGGTTCGTTGCCCAGTACTGGAATAAGTAATGTGTGAAAATTATAGTTTCCAGTTTCTTTGAGCTCAAATCCCGGTGCCAGCACCAATGAAATTGTTAATATTAAGTGATGAATTATCACGTGCTCAGCGGTAGAGGAAAGCAGCAATAACAAAAAATAATAATTTTTTTTTCTTCGAAGTCTGCCAATCCGCGATGGGGACGCGTGAAGGACTATGCCCTTATACCTTCTGGACAGAGGAGGCCTTTGCTCAGCAGTGGGACATGTATCAGCTGTTATTTTACTCTTTTTAGATTTTTGAACAATATAGGGATGTGGAAAGAATAAAGATGTCGTTATATCAATATATGTTTAAGAGATTTTCTCTTCGATATATCGAAGCCGATCGAATCGATATAACGAAATGTTCTCTCTAGGCTCCTGTGTGACTCTGTGCCGGATTCGAATTTGAAAAAACATCGTTTTATTTTGTATCGATACATTGGATCCAAATGTTTCGGCTAAAACGTCGACAATTTTTCGACATCCCTACTACAAGGGATCGCGCAATGCGAACGCGACACCGGCTATTTGTCGCGTTCGCATTGCGCGTCGCCGGCGTGCCAGTTGCGAACGCACACCCGCGCGCGCAGCAATGGATCGAGGGCGCGGAGGGCTGGTCGGGGCGGCTGCCGCTGGCGCCGGTGCCGCTGGTGGCGCGCGGCGAGACGCGCGTGCGGTGCGCGGGCCCCGCGCCGCTGGCCGCCGCGGGCCGCGCGCCCGCCTCCGCGCCCAACGCCACGCCGCGCGCCGCCCTGGTGTGGCGCCGCCTCGAGGAGATGCTGCTCCAAGCGGCGCACGGCGCACCGCCCCTCATATTCAAGCCCACCGTCGATCTGTACACGGAGGGCACGGACGCGAACCCGATCGTGCCGCAGGGCGGTGAGTTCGATGCACGAGTCGCGTATATGACCTTTTTGTTGGACTTTTTTCCATCTCAGATGACAGGGTTAAGACGGGTTCTCACTCCATAAAACCCCCTCGGTGGCCACCTTCTGTGCGTTTGGAGGGACCCCGGAATCTCCTATGGAACGCAACGCCGTCTCTCGGTACCCGCGCGTATAACCTAATGTCAGAGCCAATATTAGGCCGAACATTTCTTGGGCTGACGGTGTGCCCCTTGAGACAAGGGTCTGTCCGTCTTCTAGGACAGTGTAGACGACCCCGGTGTGTGTGTATGTGGTGAATTTGATACTTTCATACATATCTGTACATGTGTTATTCCTCAAAGGGATCGTCAATCAATCACGTGAGGTTTGAGAGAGTTTGAAAAAACGTAAATATATAGTTTTCGTAATAACTAGCCATAATTAGCCATTATTCGATTAGATTGTAGTCGAGTTTAAAGTCTTCTTTTTTATATAAAATCATGTTTATATGTAATTTATAACTGATTAATATAAATATATAGGAATAAGGATGATTACTATTTTATGATATACCAACGAATATTGTAATACTCATTTTCGTCTAATATCCTTTATAGAACCGATACAAATCACGATAACGCTGACAAATCCGCTGAAGATACAATTGCTGCTGAAAGACCTGGAATTGCTGTGGCAGTTTGTACCAGACGTCGAAGACGCCGACGGGCCCAAAGACATCCTGAACAACGAGCCGTACATAGCGTCGGGGCGCAGCTTAGAGAGCAACGTGATCTCGAGACAGAAGATACAGTCGTTCGTCTTGGAGGGGGAATGCAACAAGCGATTGACGTTCTCATTGACGCCGCTGCAGGTGGGCCGGTTGCTGGTAAAAGGTCTGGCTTATAAGTGAGTAGAAAACTTGTAATACCACACTACATTATATACCGTGTAGAACGTTGAGTTTGATACTGGAGTACACTGCTTCAATTATAACGAATCTCAAAATAATGTGTTATAAATGAAGTGAAACTATTATTGAATTGAATAGTTCCACTATTTTTGCACTTACGAAATCATAACGTTTCAAAATTCGAGTTTGTTGCTACCAATAATAATAGTAATACCTACAGTATTTTTTGACACATTTCTCGGGTTCTCTGAATATAAAGACCGAGATTAATAAGCATCGCTAGTGATAAGCTATTTAGTATAGCTCAACAGTTATATGATGAAAGATTCATAATTTGAAAAGATACAATGCTGAATAATTTTTCATGATATAGTTCAGTTCATTTTTTTGCCAAGTAAAGTGCAGTTGTACGCACTTACCTCCGAATAACACAAAACCGGTGTTACGCGATTTTCTAATCTCGTCGATTCGACTTTTTGGCAGTTTTTGATGATCAGACATCATCAAAAACTGCCAAATTGCCACATTCAGGAGTTGACAATTGATGAGCTCATAGAAATGCATGAGTTAGAGTAAGACATATAGACATTTTAGACTCGGTTCAATCAGATCTTATGACGGTTGGGAATTTCGTCAGTTTAATTAAAGGGGTTACAAATTTTAGAAAATAGACTTTAACGACTTTAACGACGAGCTTAACGACTAGACTTTAACGACGAGCGCGTTTCTTCAACGAAACAAGGAATAGAAAAATTTTCCTTGCTACGACGAAATTTTGGGGAAGAAAAAACATTGATTCGGCGGACTACTTTGTTATATTTCATGAAATTTTGTACATTAAAAGTAAATTCGAATTGCTATTTTATATTTGTATTATCCAAGTTTTTTTTTTCTTCGATACATTCGGACCCACTTTGCTGAATTTCTAATAAAGAATTTATGCTCGAAAGTAACTATTGTTATCTCGTATTATTTACAAATATGCCTCGGTCTCTCTCTAGGGCGAAAATTTATTTTGTTTTCTCGGTCAAGACAAAAGTAAAGTTCTATTAGGCTTTACCGAGTGAATGAAGAAATCTTAATTGTGGAATTTTATATAAACTCCAAGCGATGTTTCAGTAACTAAGCGTCTTTTATGATATAAGCCTATTTTGTTTTATTATTCAGAAGAAATGCTCATTTCCTTTATCACGTTTAACATCTTCACTTCTTATGAGATGTAAAAAAAATCTAAAATATTACCCATACCTAGAAATGTTCTTGTTTCTGTCATCGTTATAAAATATCATAAAAAAAATTAAAGAATAAACATTTCAGGTTGATCAATATCGGCGAAGACGGAAAGGAGAATAGTAATAGCGTGGTAATATCGGGGAAACTGGATTTGTTGGCCGATGGCAACGAATCTGATAAACGTTTGCAAATCATTGTTATCCCACCAGCCCCATGTTTGCAGGTAACGTAAGCTTTCTATTGATCCATCTGTGCGATCTAACATTATAGTTTATACCCAATAGATTAGACTTTTCTAGATTTAAGTTTATTTACAGAACTTTACATTCTGTAATTTTCGTCGTCAGTCAGACAATGGACAGTCAGTCTTACTTACACACTGAGGATTAAATTGTATCATTATCGGATTTCATTCGTACTTGACACTTGTAACTTTTCACTTGACAAAGATAACATTTCAACGCTGCTGAATTATTGTTTGTGCGTTTGAGATAGGTCTATCATGTGATACTTTGACATGATACAGATGACATTCTCGGAAACAAGTTCGGACGTGATAAGCGGCGAGCTGAGGATCATCGACGTGGAATTCCGCAACGTTGGACCCGTCGAAATGAGGAACTTGCACTTGGCAGTGTCCCATCCCGATTGCGTCAGCCTCGTCACCGACGAGCGCGAAGACGACTTCAAGCTGCTCTATGAGGAGAAATATAAGGAACCAACAACCTATCCGGGTAACCGAAATAATCTATATATTTCTATTTTTATAGTATAGACTTTATACAGACCGGTAGCGGCAGACCTGTGTACACATATTTATATTTTATTTATATGAGCTGATGTAATCTTGTTCTTTTCTTTTGCTAAAAACACAGTTAAACATTATAAAACACAGTTAAACCAGCTGAGCTAATATTACTAAGACCCAACGGCACAGACATAACATTTATACAAAAACATTTATATAAAAATCCTTGTAACTAAATGTGCAACTATAATTAGTAACATAGAAGAGAAAACCTAAAATAAGACCCAGATAACACAAATTACTTACTTTAAAGAAGCTGTTATATTTTTGTCTCGCTCTGATTTAGGTATTCTAGACGCAACACTATCATATAAATCGCATGCATACATTGAAACCTTAATTATAAAAATGTTAATTTCAATAGAAAAAGCGACATCTCACGAATTATCGTTGTAAAACGTTATTTGAAGTTGTTCGTGTGCTGTACTGTATAGGGCATATTAATAGAAGCGCTAAGCGATGCCGTAGCTTAAAATGCGAAAATACGAAATTGATAAAGTACGTTAAGATTTTCGTCGGCGTGGCAATCAGACTTTCAGCTTAGTGGTAAAAGGCGGAATTCCGGAAGATGCGGGTGCCATTTTAACGTTATATTTCCATTTCACACCATTATTTGGTAGGTAGGCCGCGAGTATAGTGATCTTTATGGCTCCCGAAGACGGGATAATGATGCTCCCTATAATTTCCTATATATGCGTGTGTCCATTCGAGCTAAGAAAATAATGAGCCTCTGCCAGCCTTGTCACAAACAAACAAAACTTGAAACGCGATCTCTTTCAATGTCCTATGGCCCTTAAGTGGCGTCAACAGCACTCCGCTATCGCGTTCCGTCGCGGAAAACGCGCTTCGCCAGGGACCGATCGCCTTCATTACCGCGGCCACAACTTTGCATCAACAAATCCCAGCATTCAAAATGCCTGAACATCTCCGATGAAAGAAAGAAAGAAGAAACGTTTATTCACGGTCTAAGCACAATGGATACATACAACACTTAAAAATAATAATGTAACTACACAATATATAAAAAATAATATCAGAAAGACTTAAAATAAATGTAAACATACAAAAAAAAAAAAACAAAAGAATAACAATAAGTGAAGGTCTGTGTAGCAGCATAAGACCGTGAAACAGACGGGACTCGGTAAGTGACTCGATGACGATGCGCGCCCGTGCACTGCGTACAGACGAGCGCGCGGCGCGCGCGGCCTCGCGTGCGGCCACCGCGGGGCGGCACGCGCGACTCGTGGCGGCGTCCGTACCCGCGGCGGCGGCGGCGGCGTGCGTGCGCGCCAAGCTGGTGCTGCGCGCGCGCCGGCGGGCGGTCGCGCTGCGGCTGCTCGCCTACTACGAGACCGGCCTGCGGCAGCGCCCGCACCGGCTGCTGCGCCACGAGATACGCTTCGAGCCGACGGTGGGCACTGTCCTTTTGCGCGAAGGTCTCCTCTATGCGCTACTAGCGACCCGCCCCGGCTTCGCACGGATGCAATGTGTTATAACTATTATAAACCTTCCTCTTGAATTACTCTGTCTAGTAAAAAGAACCGCATCGAGACTCGTTGCGTAGTTTTAAAGATCTACGCAAACATAGGGTGGAAAGACAGCGGGACGACTGTTTTATACCATGTAGTGAAAGTGGCAAGCGAGCTGGCGTGTCATCTGATGTTAGCGGACAACCGCTGAACATGGATGGGCATCGCAACACCCGATGCAAATGCTGATGCGCTGCCACCTTTTAAGAAAATGTGGGTCCCGGCTACCTCACTCACCAGACGAAACGCAGAAGAATGAAAGTTGATAGTAATAGTATATAAAGAGTTGGCTATCGAGCAGTGATTCACCAGCAGTTCAGCAATGCCAAAATAAGCGAATGAGACCCAGCTACCTCACTCGGCAGACGAAACGCGAAAATATTATACTTCCACCTTACGATAAGACAATAGTGTAAACGTGTGGGTCGCCACCCCCTGGGGGTCTGTCCCGTGACCATGAACGCTGGAAGGGGTTCGAAACGTCGGGAACTCACAAAATCAAAGTAAAAACCCCGATAAAATCCGTAAACTAGTCTCTTTGTTTTTTTAATGTTGATGTTTTAAGGAGTTTGAGAGTTAATTAAGATATATTACACCAATAACGTTATGTATCTTAATCATATTCAAAAGTGTAACAAATGTTTTTTTTTTGTGATCCAGGAGGCCGTCGAAATTCAAGTTACACCGCGAAGGAGTTTAAATAAGACCGGGGAAAATGTCGTTGAGAACATGAGCATGGCTGTAGAAGTAAAAAACGTGTGCAAAGAGAAAGACGAGGATATTACAGTGGAAGTGTTAGAGGTTACCTTGCTGAGTCAGCAATGGGCCTTAACGAATCTCGTCGCGGCACCTAACACAGACGCCGCTTTGATTCCCCGAGAAAGAATCCACTATGTGTTCAAAGCGAGGAGGAAACTTGAAGAGAACGCCAAAGGAAACTTGGAATATTCATACATCAAAGTTGGCAAGAAGCATCCGGAAAGCGTCGACGATGTAAAATCACCGCCATACTCTAAGTTCCTGATTGATTATCTCCCTTCAGTGGACGACATTACAGAGCCGAACTATTCCGAGGCGGAGAGGAAACGAGACGGACTGATTCAATCGATGCTCGTCGTGAGATGGAAGGCGTACGACAAGATCTTAAACAGAACTGCGATCGGTCATCACTGTGTGTGGATGGATTGCTTCGCGAAAGCCTTGTCGAGGGAAAAAGACCCGACGCAAGATATCCCTATGCAGCTTGACGATCTCGAGAGTAAGACCAACTTGAGCGAAACTAAAGAGGGGAGCGACAAAAACAACATCGTCCTGTTCAAACTGGAACATTCCAACTACGTGTGCCACAATTTTACAACAAGGAAGCTATGCCTGATACCCATCGTTATAAATATAGTCAACTGTTACGGAGTTCCCGTGACTGTGTTCATTGATATGTCTAAACAACAAAATAGGTGAGTGTTTCTTAAGCAATTATTCTCGTTAAATGATTATTATATACAGGCATCATATCATCATCCTCCTGCCCTGCCCTTATCATATCCAGGTGAGGTCGACGTAACATGTTTATTGTGTTGTAAGTGGTTTTGGCTGTTATTTATGACGTCACTGTCTGACGTCAATTTTTCTCGGTTCTAACACGATGTAAAACATTTTAGTATGTCCAGTGATTATGGACTCTTAAAGTGTTAAAAATGCGGAAATCAAAACCATAATTATACAGGAATTAGGAGTTATTAGAGTAAACACAAGAAATGGCTAACATTATTTGGTATTTCATAACTTTCTTCTATTAAAATTTTTAGACACAATGGACGACAATTTCAATTACAACGATAATTCGAAATTTAATGGAATTATTCGTGTACATACATAACAATCAATGCCACTACCCCCGCACAAAATGCGAAAAAAACAATAAGTAATAAATAGATAAAATAGGTCCGCGTGGCAAGCAGCCGTTTAGCTTAGCGATTCCGAAAGACAGGGTTTCGATTCCCTTCAATGTTTCTACAATTTCATCTTAAGTGGAGATCATAGAGTTCCCGATGAACACAGGGAGTCCACCGGTGAGTTGGGCTGGGCGGGCGCGTTGAGCACGGGCGGCGGGCCGGACTCTCAGCACTTGGGGCTGCACGTGCGCCTGCGCGGGTTCGAGTCGCGGCGCGTGCCGGTGCGGGCGCTGTGCGCCGCGCCCGGCACATACGTGCTCGGCTCGGGCTTCGTCGTCACCACCACCTGGGGCCGGGACGAGCAGGCCACCACGCGCTTCTCCAACAACACCTCGCTGCTGGTCGTGAAGCAGGCGGCCTAGGCCGTTGGACACTTGGCAGCTGCCCGACGCCGCAGTCGATGTATGATGTGTCGAGACTGTGGGCTTTCGTTTGCGCTTTCGCCTCTCGCTTCGGTCAATTTAATACAGGTTGCGCGGGACTCGTTGGCCGCGCCCTAGGTGGGGGAGCGCGGGAGTTGTCAAATTGTCGATATCTTAAGATTTATACAAAGTTAAAATAATCCTTTTTCGCACGATTTCTGGTACACTGATCATCGTAGAAGTCGACTAATCAGCTGTCAAATGGATATTCATATAAAATATTTTTTTTTCATATAAAATGAGATTTTCATATATTGTAAACTCTATGAATTTATCTTTAATTTGATTAAAGATAAATTCATAGAGTTTACAATCCTTTTGGCAACAGTTGAAAAACCATTTGACAGCTGGTTAGTTGACTTTTTTTTATGTGAAAAGTTGTCAAGCGAGCAGATGGTTCACCTGATTTTAAGTGAACTCGACTTCTACGACGATCGGTGTCTCAGAAACCGGGAGTCAGTATTACATTCTTTAAGTGTTCCCCCGCCTCACCCATGCCATTAAGGCGCGGTTAACAAGTTGCTCGTGGTCTATTGTCGAGTGCCGTTAAAAACTACTTATTATTAAATAACTTTAGTATTTAAAATTAAATTGCAATATAATACTGCAATTCGTTTGCAAATGGCAGAAACACGTTTTTAATAGATTTTGCAAGATATATTGTTAATTCTTTTTGCAAGATATATTTCATTAATTTAAATATAATTTCAACTTTTAATTAATTGTGTCTCAGTGAACTACGTGTTTATAACGGAAATTTTCAAAAACGCAAGCTTGCAGCAGTACTCAGATCTCAATGTTTCGTTGAAAAAATATTTTAACACATTAAAAATACAATACAATAATAATACATAAACCTGTCACATGTTTTATTGTTTTGATGACGTAAATAATAGTAAATAGTGATGATTAAACTTGTATCTTCAATTGTATCATTACGAATAAATAACATCATTTTGTTTGAACAGTGATTTTTATTGTCCACAATTTTTAACTTCCTTTCAGTCGTAATCAATCAACACAAACAATCATGTTAAACAACTTAAAACGAATTTAATAAACACCCAATATAATTTAATTACGATTAAAAAAATCATTTGAAATGCGTAAGTTATTTTACTGTTAAATCTTATAATTACTCATTAGTACTAAAATGTGAACATATTTCAAATAATAAGACGATCTATCGGAGACAACATTTCACAAATAGGTGCCCTACAGTGATGACCCAATGCCATTGCAACGCACCAGATTTTATACATTGGGCAACGAACACATGTCTATTGTCTAATCACACCAGTAAGATTGTTGAAGGGTGAACACAACCATTACCATTATATCGATATATTTTGGAGTTTCACGTCGTATAAAAAAGAAAATCAGGCGAAGAAATTTAACCAAACATTTCCTCAAAATACTGCTCATAAATTCTGATAGAAAAACACATGGAAACAATCAATTGGAAGAGGTGTTTCATGTGCTGTTTTTATAATAAATAGGGACGTTATATTACGTTGGTAAACTTTAAATAAATTTAGACCTTTACCCAGGGACAAAGCGAGTTTAGCTTTTTCCCCGCAACTCGATCCCAAATTTTGAGAGACTTCTCCATGGGCGTAGCTTGGGGGTGGGGGATTCAAACCGAGGGTGAAATTGAAATCTGAATTAGTTAAACGTCAACCGGTACATTTATCCCGTATATATTAATCGACTATCAGCTCACAGAGGACCGGAGTGAAGTGGAAGTATAATACTTTCGCGTTTCATCTAGAGAGTGAGGTAGCCGGAGCCCAATTTTCAAAAAGTATGTATACGCATCTGCAACCTCGGGTGTAGCAAATGTCTATGGTCAGCGGTATTCACTTAACATCAGGTGAACCGCCTGCTCGCTTGGCATATTTTCACATAAAAAAATTGCCAATTAAAACTTCTTTTAAATTTTGAATATCGACCTTTTTGGTAACCTAATCTGATGTAATATATTTCATTAATTTGTCCTTAACAGACTGGTGTAGTCCCCAGCAATTTACTAATACGGAATCTGTAGGAAATCTGAAACCCAAAAATAAAAGAAAGAACAAACAAAAATACTATTTAGTACAAGACCTCATGGGTCGATTAGCAATCGACTACAAACAAAAATAGTTTCTGTTTTTATAGTAAGGAATTCACACCACATTTATTTGTCAAATAATCAAATAACTCGACTCGCACATCGCTACTTGTCAACGTCATTCAAGGGCGGATCCAGCTTTGGTGCCAGGGGGGGGGTCACGTAGTCGTGGTCAAGTGATAAGAAGTTATAATTTAATTTTTATAATCATAGATAGAAGTAAAAATAGGTACTTATTTTTAACCGACTTCAAAAAGAAGGAGGTTATCAATTCGGATGTTTGTATTTTTTTATGTAGGTATGTTCGAGTATACCTTCGTCCTATATAGACGGATTTGCAAAATTCTTTTTTGTTCGTAATATTTCGTTGCTTTTTATTATCATTATATTATACAGGGTGGCTTTTATAAAGGTGCCCAAATTCACACAGGAGGTGTAGATTCGGTAGTATAATCGTTTAATGAAATAAAAACAAACTTTTTAAAAAAAATGGCATTCTATTCCCTAAAAACAACAAACAAACTTGTTGAGAATGCGGTAGTCATTCATAAATGCGTCGTACACTTACAAGAGCCGTGATAGCTCAGTGTCAGGGCGCTCGCCTTTAATTCAAAACACTCGAGCAACCTGAGTTCGATCCCCGGTGCCGGCACCAATGAAGTTTTTTACTTTAAGTGCTGTCTTATCACGTGCTCCGCGGTGAAGGAAAACATCGTTAGGAAACCTGCATATTTTAAATAATAACAAAAAAAAATATTTCGAAGATATGTGAAGTCCGCCAATCCGCAGTGGGGCCGCGTGGTGGACTATGCCCTGATACCCTCTATATAGAGGAGGCCTTTGCCCAGCAGTGGGACATGTATAGGCTGTTACTTTTACTTTACACTTTTGAAACGAATATGTGTGCGTGTTAGTTATGAATGATCGCGCGTAAAATAAATGAGTTGCTCATAAATCACGCACTTTCTGAGATAAGTTCAAATGAAAGTAATTAATTAATTACGAGTGATTTTAAATATATATCATTTTTAAATAACTTTATTTATGTTTAGAATTTAATAAAAAAAATGGATACACTTAGAAAAACCTCCCTGTATAGTATTTTTTTAAGTAGCTATTGGTAGGCTTACATATTTTTGGAATTTCTTTTATTTATTTCTTCGTTGACAGATTTCATCCACTTCAATGACAAGTAGCCTAAGACGGGACTATCAGGATACGGGTTAATAATAATCTATAATCAACCTAAATGAAAACTGCTAAACTAGCCGTACACAAAATAAAATTACCACGTCCACAATAAAAAAATGTTCATAAATAACAAAAAAACATATTTATTCATTCATTCATTCATAATATTCAGCGCTTCTAATCCATCTAATCAAAGACAGAATCCACATTCATAACAAACTGAACGAACAAACTTTATTTCCCAAAGATGGTCTCGCATACTCATTTCTCCACTAAACCACCACATCTCACCACCCATCAAAAACGGTCCACCCATTAAGACGGATCAAACTCGACGCATTTGTGTACCTTAATTACTGAGTGCCTATGGCCACATTCCAGCTCTGTCATCAGACCCTGGTTACCATCTAGCACCATAGAACTCGTCATGACGAATCAAACGAGCCGAGACACAATAGGGTTACGTCGTTTCTTTACCGAGTTCATATGATTATCTTCCAGCTCCATCATCAGATCAGACCCTGGTAAACATCTAAAAATTAAGTTCTCGCCAAGACAAATCAAACAAGACGAAACTTGATGGGGTTGAGTCGTTTCATTCGTAAAGTACTTCTGCGATTTGTCTGGTGAGTGAGGTAGCTGGAGCCCACTTTATTATAAGGAGAAAACGCATCTGCAACCCTATGCATATGTCCATGGATGGCTGAAGATGGAGCTCCATCATCAGATCCTGGTTACCAATGAAAGACAAACTACTCGTCCATACGCTTCAAATGTACCCAAACGCGATAAGGTTCTGTCGTTTCATTTCGAAGTTCCTTTGGCCTTCCTTCCAGCTCCATCATTTGTCTCGCTCCATAGTCTCGCGATTAACACATGTATACAAAATTTCAGCTCAACCGGTAACAGGGAAGTTGATCAAATTTAATTTGCAAGATTTGATTTGATGATTTAATATTAAAATATTGTAAAAATGTTCATAAAATTAAAACTACTTGGCCAAACTATATACAAAATTTTATGGGACCAAATGGAAACTATTCTGCATAAAACTAAAGAAGAATCCCGTAAATCGGATCATAAATCTCAACGTAATCGGTGTACATACATCGAAAAAAATGTAACAATCGAACTCCTCCTTTTGAAGTCGGTTAAAAATATTATATTAATTTAATTAAATATTGAAGGTATTTACATAAAATCTATGTTGTGGCAAAAAATATATAAAAACATTATGTTTAACAATTTTAATTAGTGGTCCACCTAGGTCCTGGACCAAGCCCAGGGGGGGGCCATGACCCCCATGACCCCCCCCCCCCCTGGATCCGCCCTTGACGTCATTTTACTATAACATCGTATGAGGTCAAATATGACAAACACTATAAATAAAGTAACAGCCTAAACATGTCCCACAAAGGGCAAAGGCTTCCTCTGTACAGAGGGTATCAGGGCTTAGCCACTATGCGGCCCCACGGCAGATAGGCGGACTTCACAAATCTTTGAAATATTTTTTTTATTATTATTTCGAAAATGTGCAGGTTTCCTCACGATTTTTTCCTTCACAGCAGAACACAGCAGAGGGAATAAAATCAGTAATTTGTAATAATTTTATTTAATTTTTGATTGAGAGACT